ACTCCATGGTTTCCTGAATGGTGGTACTCTCCACCGGAACCAGACGAGTACTAGTCATTTCACTCAAGGTAACTCCTTGTATGACTTGAACATTCAACGCTGCTCACCCCATACATGCCTCCCGCATGCTGCTCATCACCTGCCATCCAAGGACAGAAGGAGGCGACGTGGGGGGGGCTGGACAAGAACTCCCCTGTTCCTCAGGGGTAAGACAGACTGCTACCTTAGCTCATTCCCTCGGCTCATGTATCCACAGCTTGTACTCACAGGATCCTGTGTAAGCTCCCTCATGAGGACCGACGAGACTAGTTAACACAGTCTGTCCCCAAATTAAGCCCTATACTCATGCCAATGCTGCTCGAACTCACAGTTCCCTGTGTAAGCAACTCTTAAAACATGCAAGGGCTCCTAACGGAGTCTACCCAAACCTCATCCTCCCGGATGTCGATGTAGACTCTTTTCCACACTCAAATCAAAGCTCATCTGACTGCATGATGCAAGTTGGCCTACGGGCAAGCTATGGACCTCAGTGATCAGCCTACCAAAATCGGCCCTGTGCGTCTCTTATTCAAATTGAATTCAGGTGCGTCCCCACTGACATGGTCAGCGTGGGTGCCAGCTCGCTGCTGCGCGCACCAAACAACTGTCACAAAATGCGCGGCCCCATGCCATGGCCTCCCTCATATCCTGCGTAGTCATCGGTTTTACCAAGCGGATTGCACGCTCGGCAGATTGCTTCTGTGAGCAGAGGGTCTGGCCATTGTTGAGCTCCAAGTGGACCTTCGACCGCTGAGTTGCGATATAGCCACATGGCTCCGGGAATGGGTTCCGGAGAGAGCTAGCCCTGAGAGTCGTGTCAACCCACGACCTCATCCCAGCCTCATGGATGATCCCCGGAATGTCCAGGGAGCGCCTGCAGCTTTTGACATAAGCCACGGCAACGTCCCAGCTCTCCTGCGCAAGTAGGGCCCTGAAGACGCAGCCTCCAACACCAGCTCGGTGACGTCCTGACAGGCAATGGATCAGTGCTGATTCTCCTGCATACATCGTATTGCGCAGCAGGGGCCAGACTTCCTCAAAGTCCCTGTTCCTGGAGTTGCCATGCGCCACACAAAGGTGCTTCAAGAGGGCATCCGTCAGCACTACTCCTCCTCGGGAGGATGGGGTCTCAGCCATGCATGCAATCTGAAGGGTAACTCCCTTCGGAAAGCGATGCGCAGTATTCTTGGTAGGAATCCCGCTCAGCCACAGCTTGCCCCCTGCTCTGTTCTGGTAGATCAGGCTTGGGCTCTCTGCAGTCTTGCCGTGGACAGTAGCCAGCCTGTCAAACTTCCTGTCAGGCCCCCTGGTGTCCAGTGCCTCTGGAATCGGGAGGTCTTCCTCCTCCACTTCAATCTCTTCATCCTCAGAGCTCGAAACCAGGGCTGGAAGAGGAGCTGCAGGTGTAGCTGGAGCTGCCTTCGCCTTTTTCTCAGGCGGTGCTTTAGGCGGTTGGCCCTGTGGCGATCGAGGGCGCCTCGCTGGCGCCTTGGGTGGGGTGGCTGGTTCAGGAGGTCGCTCCTCCTTGGACTTGCTGGTAGGCTTAGCCTTCGCAGAGCCCGAACCAGTCCCTTCGCCCGGCATCTCTTCCACCTTGATGAACTTCTTGTCATGGCATTCGCATGCTGGATGTCCTCCTCCACAGACGCGTCCAGATTTGCGCATCACGGCACATGCATGCCTACCCGGGCATGATTCCTTCTCTAACGGGCAGGACTTCGTTTGATATGCCCCACAAATAGGCGCCCCGTTCTTCATGAAGGCACTCAGCACCTTCCCATTGAGGGAAGCTGGCATAGTCGTCAGCCCACCTTTGGCTTGGGCTTCCTCCCTCTTGGCAGCTGCTTTGAGCTTGAGGGCTTCTGACAACTGAAAACGAGCTTGTAACTCATCCTTAGTCAAAAGGGCTGCCCAGATGACACGGGACTCCTGCTTCAGGACCTTGTCGACTTGCTGGCGCGCATAGTCAAGGGCCTCCGCAAAGCTCTGTTCCGGAATCGTCTCCCAAGACTCGTAAGCCAACAACTTCTCCATGGCCAGCCTGATGATGTGCTTGGTCCGAAGCGAGTGTTCATACCTGGCTGCACTGTAGTGCATAGGCATCGTCGCTTCTTTGGGGATCTGGCTCCGATCGGCCCAGTCGCCAAGCGAACATAACTCCAGGGGCGTCAGCTTCATCAGTGATCCCACTGTGGGGCCAGCTCGCCTCCAAGAGTAAGACGACAGATCGTCTGTGTTCTGGACCAAGTGCTCGAAGACCTCGCGGTTCAAGTCGTTGACATACTTCAAGGTGAATGCGGTACCCTCCGCATCGAAACAGAGGCCTGAGGTGGCCTGCTTGGTCTTGGTCAGCTTGCTATAGTCCCGAAATAGGGCGGCTCCCCAAGCCCATCCATTCACGAATGTTGCGGGGATACAGAAGGAGAATCCACCCCGATTGGCCCGCTGCTTGCCCTTCGGGCAAAACCCATGGAACGAAGATGGTGTCACCTTCACCGGCCTGGCCCTCATGATGTGCTTGTAACGCAAGACACCAAAGGTTACCAGCCATGATGAAAGCAACCCTCGCCAACGTGGGTCCTCTGCCTCGTACATGGCCTGTATGCGCTCTTCCAGGGCAGCAATCATCGGCGGTTCAACTGCGACTGCCTGCTCAGGATTTGCCTTCTTGGGTGGATTCTTCCTTGAGGGCACTGGCACATCACTGAAGTCCCACTGCAAGCGACCATGTTTCGAAAACCATTTCAAAGAATGAAATGCCCTGTAGGGTCCATTGGTGCCATTTTGTAGAAAGCCATAAAGATCCAAAGTATCAGGCGGAAACAAACGATCTTTCTGTTCCATGTATGCCCTCAATTCTGCCCAGGACTTGAGGGCATTCACAACTGTGGCGCCCTCTGCCTCCGTGACTTTTTTCTTGGCCAGGGTATCCAGGGCATCCTGCCATTGTGAATACCTCTCAGGGGTCAGCTCCCCTTGAGGGCGCATCACCTTGGCCTGGGAGAATGCTTTCCGCAAAGCCTCGGCTCTCAGCAGCACTTGTTCTGGTTGATCTGGGCCTGGACGGATGCGAAGTGCCTGGATCATCCTGCTTTTCTTCAACATCGAAGCCTTGGGAGCCGGCCAACTTGCTGGCCTATCCCGAGATCCAGAACTCTCTGCCACTGCCGCCACCTGCGGAATGAGGTCATCTTCAATGATGTTGGAACGCGCCTGCAGCCACGCATCGGCAACATGGTGTCCTCCATGCGCCACTGCGCTGTCGTATGATGCGAAGGCATAGGCGAAGTCCGTGTTGTCATGCAATCCCCATTGAGATCGCCACTGCTCCACCCTCGTTGAGGCCACCCGTTCCATCGCAGTCTCAGCGCCAAGCGGAGCATCACCTGCAGCTTGAACTGCGTAGGCACCTGGGTGATATGCCATGGCAACCCCCGACACCACCGCTGCCAATGTTTGGAGCGTTCGCGCTGGGCCTGAAACTGCAGAATTCACCTCAGTATCACCAGGTACGAAACATGCATCACTAGGCCGCAGCTGCTGCAGATGGGTCTCTATGCAAGTTGGGGTGACAGCCTGGACACTGGGAGGGTGGACAGGTACTGCACACTGAAGAGAAACAGTGCTCACATAGTTCTGGGGTCGGAATGCCACAGGCCCGACATGGCGGCAAGGGTTCCTCCCCAGCCTCCATGGCACCGAGCCACCCCCAGAGCGACCGCACTGCCCTGGCCCGTGGTGCCCTCCACGCAACCAGGTCAGCTGGGATAGGCACCATGGATGGGTCTCTCCATCCTCGGCGCGGGGACTGCCACTTCCTCCAGACATCCCACAGTTCGGCAAGGTCGACCATACTCTCGGCATTGTGCTCGATGAAGGCCACCAAGCCGAAGATGTTGTCCGGCGCAAAGTCCCTGGCTGTCCAATGGGTCCGCAGCGGCTCAATGAGCAGCAAGTCCAGCTTCGCCTCGCCCAGGCGATCATAGTAGGACTGCCACGCCAGCCGCGGGTCACTCCCGGGCAGAGCCAAGACAGCTGAGCTGTTCCACGTACCAATCCATGGGAACTTGAATCCTCCCAAAAACTCGGTACACCTCCTACAGTTTTCCTCCATGCAGGGTGACCGTCTGAAAGGGGGAAGTCCCTCCACCCCCAAACCAATGGGATGAGGGGGGAAATGGTCGATCTGACACACTGAGGACCATAACCTGGTGGCTTGAGACACCAGGCCCCGCTGGAGCAGGCCTTCCACGTGGGTCTTGAACTCGTAGTAGGCCGCCGCGTGAAGGATCTCAGCGTCGGTGTGGGCAGCCTCATTCCAACCAGGCCGAACGACAACGGTGGCCCTGGGCATCAGGGGGGTATCTCCCACCTCCGTAACCTCTGTACGCTAGGGTAACTCCCTAGTAGAGGAACGAATAACCACTTACCCTAGGGTGACTCCCTAGTAGTGGTGTGGGTACCCCGAACAAAAAGAAGAATGATGAAGCCAGTTTGGCTCAGACTTGAGCCAAAATGGATTCATCAACTTACACACTCACCCTAATGATAATGCACACCCAGTGCCTGCCAAACACGATGCATACATACATAATTATATGATATTTTATACATACATTATACATACCATAGCTCCTGGTTGTGCTACCTACAATACCAGCAAAGGACGAGACACCACCTTGGCAACTGAGATGGTTTCCAAAATCCATCACCAACCTTTCTGCTGGTCTTTTAGAAACCCATCCTAGACACCCCCCAAAATGGTTTCCACAAAGGTGCGGATCCCCTAATGTTAGTAAAGCAATAGGATCCACCCTCCCGAATATGACCACTCTTCGACTTTTCGATTGAAACCATCCATATGGGTGGGCAGGACCCATGACACTTGACCAGCAAAAACCCGCTAAAATGATCTCCACCTCTGGGCACCCGTCAGATCCCGTCAGGACCCCAAGGCCGTCCGTGATGTGATTGCATCCGATCTCCGACTTCCGCAAGCAGCCCAGCTCGTTGAAGACCGAGTTTCGGTCATCCTGCTCGTTTCGGCGGGAACGGGTGAACCGGCCGGGATCAATAGCAACATGGGATTAATATTTATGTGACCGGGGAATAAAAGACTACTGGGGATAGGAAATATATATATATATATTGTATATAATATATATATATATATGATATGATATATATAGACTGGCTATAAACTTTGAAGAGCACGAGAAAATGCGGAAGAGATCTGCATTTTCGACAGCCAGCATGGCTCAGCATGGCAGTTGAAAGGCAAAGCTCCTTTGAAGTAGCCGTTCACTGGATGATGTTCTCAAAGGAGGCAGAGTTTCTAGCGACCAAAAAATGCCGTGCTTCTGGAGCCACCTGGGCACATGACCGGACCTTACCCTCTTTCCTGTGTGCCGGTCGATCTCCAGCTTGGCCTCGTATGGAATGTGGAGGTCAAGTCTCCATGACATCCCTGGCCCTCCAGCAACTGCCCAAGGTTTTTCCTGAAGCTTTCCCTTCAGGTGCCATGATTTTTGTAGCAATGAATCCCAAAACGGGGCATTGCTGAAGCCGTTTTACGGCTAGGGAAAATGGCCTCTCATCCCAGCTTCATTGAGGCCAGTTGGTTGCACAATGATCTTCAGACCCTGCTTGATCCAGTTGGTTGCACCCACATGTCGGTTGAAGGTCCATGATTGCTGACAACGTCCCGCATAATTGCTGGTTGGTGTGCTTTTGTCACATCGCCATTTGCACTAGTTATACCCCCATTTGTCTGGCTTCATGTTCATGCCTAGACCCAGTTCTTGATAGAGTTCCGCATAGGAAGCCAAATGATTTGGTTGGTGGTGTCAACCCATCCCAACAATATAGGACGGAAAACAAGTGTTTTTCCGAGATCACCAACCAGATTTTCGGGCGAATCACCCGGTACGATCAAGAAATAATTGTTTTGACGATTTACAGCTATGTTGGCAGATTAATTTGCGTATAGATGTTTATATATATATATATATGTGTGTATATATATGTATGTATATATATATTATATCTATATAGGTATCTATGTAGTTTTCACCTCAAGCATAGAGACCCTGCACCCACTTCCCCGTTCCTGACACTTTGCCACTAGCCAGGTGGCAGGCGCAGACTCAGCGTGTTGAGGTTGCGGATGTCATGGGGTGGGATATGATGGGATATCGTTATAATATCATGATGAACATAGGGGGATGTGTCAGAACTTATAATACATGTATGTATGCTTTTTTATCACCATATATTTCCCATATTGTGGGATGAACAACCACAACTCCCACCTTACCACCTATGTTTTGCCGTTCGCCAGGGTACCAGGGATTATCCCATAAAGATATCGATGAAGAATCTGATGAAGTCAGTATGAATATATACTGGGATAGCATGATTCATTATATGTATGTGTATAGATAGTACACAATAAATAGTCCCCATGACATAGTGTGGATATCACCAATGGTCCTGGTTTCTGACATCATGATACATCATGATACATCATGGGCTGGCTGCAATTGCTTCCCTTCGCCCTGAGATCCTGGCATTCTGAGAGGCAAAGGCCTGGTCGCTGGCGGTTTCCGAAAAAAAAAAATGGTTGAGCCGTCTTTCCCCCCACAACGAGTGAAAGCTAAAAACTGTTCAATCGAAGCCCCGGTCCTTTTTTTTCCCGTCAAAACATGACCTTTCCTAGGGGCTAGCAGCTGGGCTAACATTATTTCATAGCCAAACAAATGTATTGTGACCTCCCAAGAAATTGAGTAAAAGTTGAAGCCATGCTGATTGAGCAAAGGGAGAACAGTGACAAATCCCACATTTGGTCACCCAAACAAAAGGTGTCATGGCCACACCTTGCCCTGGCCGTTCACCAACCAGTTGTAGGGTTCGCAAACGGCATCGCTGTAACTGGTACATGGCCTCGAAATCACCAGGGCTGTTTTCACTAAGGGCTGATTTGACCTCCAGGGGGTTAAATAGAATTAGTAGACAAACTATTAACTGGGACTTGGTCTATCTTAGTTTAAATTTAGTCTTACTTCCAGTTGGGTAAGATAGACCGTGGGAAAAATACTATAAAGACTAAGCATCCATTTCGTACAATCTCCAATGACAAAGAATCAACCGCAGGGTTCATGAATATTCCATGAATATCCCACTGTATCCCCATATCATCTTATTAGTACCTTCCATATTACCTTAATCAACCAATGGTCAATCTTCAGAAAGTAAGCCATTATAAAAATATCCAGCAACATCCCAAATTGTATCCTCATACCTGAAGTATCCCATGATTCCTAATACGGAAGGTACAACCATGGTATACCCTCTGGTAATTTAACATAGCTATTGAAAATGACCATTTATAGTGGATTTACCCATTGAAAATGGTGATTTTCCATTGCTATGTTAGTTTACCAGAGGGTATCTTCATGGCAAGTGACACGTACTGGCCCTGACTCCTCCAGGACTCCTCCAGGACCCTCCGCCCTCCAGGGCCCTCCAGGGCCCTCCAGGGCCCACCAGGGCCCTCCAGGGCCCACCGGGAGTCCCCGGCCCACCGCCGCACCAGACGCACGGCTCGCCACCCACGTTCAACCCGTGAGGAGCATAGCCAATGCGCCCGTCCACGCGACCTGGCGCCAAACAATTGGAGATGTCTTCAACTGGGATACCATAAGAAAAAGTGACATACTTCAAAAATGCTCTAAATATCTTAAAATGCCAGGTTTCTTAAAATTGGGGTACCCAATAAATTACCATGGATGGTTTGATATTTGACATATTTTGACATAGTTTAAGATACCCGAACAAATCCACCAACTTGGTGATAATTGTGGGATTACCCGAAATAGCAAATATGGGAAGATAAGCTAGCAGATCGGAATACACATGATGGATATGATCAACAAACAAGTGGATAAAACGATACATGAAGTGCAGAACCGAAAAGGGGATAAGACCTCGGGGAACGGGTATCATAAACAGCAAGAATGACGTTATAGCTATGAAACAGCCAAAATTCTCAGCAAAACTTGGGGATCCCAAAAATGAAAATGTTTACTCACGAACCCAGAATGTACTACCAACATAGATCTCACCACTCATGGCTTCCCGGGAATCAAAAAAGGAACAGCCGCTCTGAGAGCTGGGCTCAAACACATCAACTTGTGCTTGATGGAGCCTAAGCTACCAGAGATGACATGATGACACCCTGGACGGCCTGTAAGGGTTGGCACTTGTCGCCTCTTTTTTGTTCAGGTTGAACAGACTTGCCAAAACATCATATCAATTGATGCAGCTGGTAATGCATCCGAATGTAGAAATGTGACTGGTCATAGCAATAATCATAGTAGTGAAATATTGATGACCATTTCAGTATCAATGAGGCTGATTATTTGGTCTGTGTGGAAGTCACGTTACGTGCGCGTCATCCGCTTCTGATCTCACTTTTTCAGATGCTGAAGCTGTTGATGATCCATGTCCTTCCCCCTCAAAATTAGAGGCATCCCCATTGTACCACAAATTTGATGGCTGTATACTCAGTTATTGATGCTTGCAATCCCATTTATTCACTAATTCATGGTGATATGCCGTAGTGATATCCCAGTTGTTATTGACTATATCCCAGTTATTACTGAGTGATATCTCAGATTTATGGTGATATAATGCGATATTCATGGTGATCTCCCAGTTATTCATGATATTTAATGACTATGTATGTCCCTATGATATCCCGATTCGGATGTTTCCTAAGTTATGGGGGCACCCGCAAATCATCCAAGTCATGAGACCATGACTTTGTATTGAAACCTATGGTGACGACTGGGGATCCCCCATTTTAAGAAACCCACATATGGGGATATGCTAATCCAAGTGACATACCTTTATGATATCCATTTTTAGTTACTGCATGTTACTGCATTAATTAATATGTCATGACATCAATATTTTCTATATCCCTATGACATTCATAGATCTGGGTAAATTAAAATAATTCACTAACCTGAATAGTTCGGCCATTTCGGGATGATTCCCCTTATCAACCATGATTCCAGGTTTCGGTCGCAGTGAGGTCGTGATGAAATTTACCCAAATAGATGATCAAGGTCCCATCCAAAAGCCCAGAAACCGCAGCCCTTTGGCTCAGATGGCATGCACTTCAGTTGCTCCTCCCGGTGGCCAAACGGTCTCCAAACTTATCTGAAATGGAGGGATCTAACCATCAACTTAATGGGATGTAACAGGATTTCATGGGATCTCACCATGAATTTCATCTGATTTCATGGCGATTTTGATGATCTAATGGAGATGATGGGATTTTAATGTTCGCATGGGGAGTTCACCAAAATGTTTAGGACCTACAAATGTCCATGTTCCACAGCCTATGTGAAATAACCAAATAGTAGCAACCACCGAAAAAGATAGAAAAGTACAACCCTACTAAAATGGTGATGTGGTTACTGATGTAGACACGTTTCTATCGTTTCTTGAGGGCTGCTGTTTTTTTTCCTGTGACCTAAGCCTGTCCTTTTTTGGCGGTTCACCCTGAGCATGAGAGCTCAACGGCTTCCACGAGTCCGTTTTGAGCAGGCAACCTGTATATGCCTTGGATGTGACCTATTTTCGTACATTATACATAATCATCATCATCATCATCATCGTCATCATCATCACCATCATCATCATCATCACCATCATCATCATCACCACCATCATCATCATCATCATATATATATATATGTATATATATATATATATGTATATATATGTATATATATATATGTATATCTATATATGTGTGTATATATGTATATATATATATACATGACTATGGGTCAAAACCCTGGCACCTAGTGAACCTCAAAATGGCTGGTAAATGGATGTTCATCCCACTCAAATTGATACTAATAGGCCTTGACCCACCAAAAAAAACATATACATGCGCGGGTGTGGAGCATTCCTGATTGCGGGCTAAACCAAAAATCCATGGTTTTTTGGGGTGTCAAAAATCCATTGCTGAAACGTGCATCTCACCACTCGGGTCCTGTGAGGGTTTTGGAATCTTCCACCACTCGGAGGGCTGATTGGCCTGGCTTATTGGAAGTGGAAAGGTACGTCACTTGGATTAAAATATTCCCATACAGTGGTATCAACTAGAATTAGTGCTTCACCAATGGGGATGGTATCACATGGTATCACATGGTATCACCATAATTTGGGCTTCATATCAAAATCTAGGGAATTGGTGATTCATGGATTGATTCAAGATATGTTGTTCCGGAAATACAGTATGTGGAGGTCCTTGAAATGTTCCCTCAAACCAAGTCTGGGAAATCATCGCGGGTTCCCCCACAAAGTAACTACTTCTTTAAGTCTTCAAAACTTGGAAATATGACCAACAAGACACAGTTGGTATATCCAAATACATCCCAAAACAAAACACCAACAGATACAGTATGCTGCAGTTTTGCTTGCAGAGTTCCAGCCTGGAGCCCTGTGAAACCCTGTGTCTTTATGTATTTCTTTGCGACTTTGTCGCAAAAAGTCGGTCTGGACCCCAACACTCCCCAAAAAGTCAGCACCACTCATCATCATTCACCATCATTCATCTTCAAAAAAAATACCAGCCATCCATTCATCCATGAAAGTCCTGATGGTTTTGAAAGGACAAACCTGTAGCAGGGCCTCCGGTGCGGCTCCCAGCATCGCCCCTTCGGCGTGCGGCGTTTGCGGCGTTGCCGGGTCCAGCACGACGCTGCTGGTGTCGAAGGTGCCCTTGGAGCAGCAGTCCAAGCGAACCTCGGACGGCGGAGAAGGCGAGGATGGGGATGATTTCGTGGGATTCAGATGGGTAAAACAATGCCATTTGCACGCACCATCCCCCATCAAAATCACCATTTTTATGGAAAAAATATAAACCATTCCCAGTCATGTGGTAAAAATGGCATTGTTATAGCCACATGATAATGGTAGCGATCCTCCAAGTGATCTCGATTTCTGCCCGTCTCCATCAACCCATGGCCCCCAATCTCCGAGCCCCGATCGCCCTCAGGGTTGGGGCAACACTCACCTGCCAGCCTGACCAACGGAGATTCTTCGGCTTCCAACGAAAAAAATCGAGGAAGAAACGAAGAAACAAAGAAACACTCCAAAAACTGGTGCTGAAAATTCAAGAAGTGCTACCCTAGTATCATGAGAACATCTTGTGCTATCATGTTCTATCCGCAATTTGAGTGACTGGTCTATTCACAGAATCTCTCCCAATCGGTTTTTGGACATGGGAATGGATCCAAACTGGCGAATGAAACACAATTAGCTCATAACATATATATATATATATACATACACATGTGCTTATATATATATATATACATATGTATATATATACATATATATATTATAATACCTATACATCCCTCGTTATATCCGTATCGTAGTTGGTTGTATACCCACGTTATTGACCAATATTATCATATATTATCCATGTTCAAAACCAAAAATAGAAACATGAAAACCCCCTTCGCTTGGAGAATCTATGGCTGTTCGACCCATCCGTCACTGGTTCCTCTTGGGGTTCCCAACTTCAGCGCAGCGCACTTTGGATGATAAGAGCAGCTGGCGCCTACAGGGCTCAGAGTCCGTCCATCACTGGTTTTGACGCCCAAATAGTGGGGGGTTCCTGTTTCCGTTCAACCAGTTCCGGGACTGAAGTAAGGAATCACCTCAATTACTATGAAACTGGGAGTCCAATTTTACCTCCAATTTGTTGGTTACACTCTGGCATCAAACACGTGCTGGAAAATATCCAGCAACATATCCCTTCGTAGATGATTTCCGAATCAAATGTTGCCTTTTCTAGAAGGTATCGGATCATGAAGTCCCCAAAGCTTCTACTTAAATCATCTCAAATCATGTCAAACAATGTCAAATCATCTTGAATCATGTTAAATGAAACTTCAGCGTTTGATGGTTAAGTCGCCAGCAAGCTTCTCCTTTGCGGTCCCCCTTTAACCCCCACCTTCCACTGCGGGAGGCGCACTGCCCAGGTCATCCTGAGAGTCCTCGGTTTGGATGAAGATCATATGGATGATGCATACCCTCTGGTAAACTAACAGTTTGCTATGGAAAACCACTATTTTTAATGGGAAAACTCACTATTTCTATGGCCATTTTCCATAGCTATATTAAATTACCAGAGGGTATATAGGGGGGGTCCATATAAATTTGGTACCGCAATAGCTGGATGGTTTATTTCATGGATCCGAAAATACAATGGATGATGCAAGGGGGTACCCCGATGACTTAGGAAACCTCCATGACCGAAAATCAATACTTGGACAGCTATATTCCTGAAGATCGTAAAGAATTTGGATGAATTTACAGATTACCCTCTGGTAATTTAACATAGCTATTGAAAATCACCATTTTTCATGGGAAAATCCACTATTTCTATGGTCATTCATTTTCAATAGCTATTTTGACATCACCAGAGGGTAAGATCCATTTCAAGATGGCGTCTGGATGGCTCCGAAATGCAGGCCAGTTTGAAACGCTTCAACTGATGGGACCCAGATGAGCCGCTGGAAACTGCCCGCTGGTTTTTTCTTGTTTCATCGTTGCAACCGTTCGATTCCCTAGGTACATTTAACAACAGGGGTGAAACCATGGAACTTCTCAATTCTTAAATCTCCGAAATCTCCGGCAACTTTCCATGAGATGTTTTTTCAACTTTCCAGATTTCAAGATTTCCCCAAGGATGAAAAGTTGTACCTTACCTGGCGCAGGCCATGACCTCCCTGCCCTGCCGAGCCTGCAGGAATAAGGATGGAGCAGCAGCCTGGGTCATTTTTCCAGGGTGATCCAGGCTATGATGGTTCTTGCAGATTTGTTTCAGTTTGAAGGAAAATTGGAAAAAAAAACATTCGGAAGTGACTCCTCTATCTGTTGATTTGCAGACCAGCGACCAGAAAAATGGTTGAGATGCATTTCAAGCCTAGAAAGGTCTATAAGGCTTGCCCTTGGCAAAGGGCATGCCCGCAACAGAAGACTGCCCACTTTTTTGGGGCACAACAGGTCCCAGAACTCACACCCAAAAAGGGGTGTCTGGCTTGGGAATTTACAAACATGTCATGGTCAAACAATCAAACCAGTCATTGGTTGATGTTCCCGAATATCCCCTAATATCCCCCGTTATTTAACCTCGCGTTATTTAATATAGCTATTGAACATCACCATTTTGAATAACAGTGAACCATGGAACTAAGTATTCATGTTCCATAGCGAACTCTTAATTTACCGGAGGGTAAGCATCAAATATCCCATGAAACATCACCATGAAATCCTGATGAAAAATCCCCAGGTCATCACCCCCTCCCATCAAGTGTGTCTTAAAAAATCACCATGCTTCACTGGGATGATATGAGCCATGGTCAATACTCAGTATATGGTTGATGGTCATCCCATCCATAATAAGGATCCTTATAAAAATGGTATTTTTTAATCCCTATGAACCATTGGATGACTAGCCCCTATTAATGGTTATTAACCATGAGTATTGACCATAGCTCATATAACTATAGTATGGTTCCATCAAAAGTGGTGAAAAATCCGGGATGTTCCGGGCCACCAGGCGCTCAAAGTCGAGGCGAGTGGGCTCTGAGGAGGCTCAGCGCGAACACCGGCTTTGGCCTCGGGCACCGACATGGGGCATGCGGCATACCCCATGGACATATCTGGGAGATCCAAACAAAGTGGAGAAATCTGAGACTCCTCAAAATGATCAAAGCCCCCAAGGTTTCAGTAGATAGTGTGGTTCAAAGGACCGGCTGACTCGGAGTCGGTTCCTCTGTAGCCATATGCAATGCCAAAATCTAAGATCCAAGGGCCTTCGAGGTGACACTGGCAGGTTACACACTTTCCCTGGGTCCCAGGGATGGGTTTTGCGGTGAGTTGTCTTCGAAACTCCATCGCAAAGCAAGGAATGGCTACCATTTTTACCCTCCGGTAATCAAACATGGCAATGGAAAAACTCCCAGTTACAGATGATTTTCATCAATTTTTCCATGTATGGAGGATGCTCTATTGCCATGTTTGATTACCGGAGGATAGTTTGTTTGCCAAACCTGTCACGGCTTGGAAGAAGGCCTTCAAAAGATCAAGGTGTCTCTTAACTCAATTCTGCGATCAATCTTGAATACCCCAAGTCTACTTCAGCGTGAATCCTGTGAGTTTGAGGGTCCCCAATTCCATCTCCCAATATGGATATGTATATCGTCCAATTTCTGATTATAGTTGCATATATATATATACATATGTATATATATATACATATGCATATATATATATATACATATGCATATATATATATATACATATGCATATAATTTTACCATTATATCCCCAATAATATCTCATTAATTCCCTATCTTTGTGGTTCACCATCCATTTTAACTCCCCAAAAGATATATATATATATATCAGTCCTGATTCACATCATATCCCCTGCCTTTAATGGTTATATGATATCATCATCCATCTTTTGACCATGGCACGAGTGGTCGAACCCAGCCCGCGCCACTTGAAAAACCGCGCCAGGGTCCAGACAGTACCACTTGGGACGCACTGAGAGAAGTCTGCATCTACCACCTGGGCATTGGAAAATGAGGGAATTTCACCCTTCAACTGGCCAATGTATTAGGGAAATATAGGAAAAGTGGGAAAATGTTGATTGACCAGTGGATGGAATGGCTGTTTCCCGTTTCCCCTCAATTGTCTGTGACAAAGCCACTTCTTTCGTGCTGTTTCTTTGGGGGATAGTCTACAAAGATGCTGGTCACAATGTCTGTAGCTAGCAGAAATCGACTGAAGGGACTATATGGACTAAATGGAGTACAAGAAACTGGTGGTGGCCAAAAAAGACCTCACAGGGACTGCGCAAAAATGTGTCGAACTGGACCGGAAATTCTCAACCAACCAGTCAAAAAGCAAGCAATCAGGTTGACCACAAATTCTCTAGGAAATAGTGCCCTCAACAACATGCCATCTTAGCGCGGAACGTTGCAAACAGCACCAGCCTGACAGCAAGCATTGCACGCATTTTTAATCCAACAATTGCTCCCGCCAACCAATTGCTTCAATATATGTTCAACTGGTCCCCAGCATACGCATGCAAAATATTAGCCATCAGAACCAGTATAGAACAAGTTACAACGCCAGTTAGAACACAAGAAACAACAATGGTCAACAAGGAGTATCACATCGAACCAGCTGATGGGGAGCTGGTCGCAAAATGACGCTGGCCTTGCAGCGTGTGTAGCCCTTCCAATCCTTGCCACCACATTGTCCATACATCGCCTGTGCCTCCTGGAGCATCTTCGTGATCATGTCAATCTCGCTGTTCCACTTTTTGTTCAGGATCAAACAGCTGATGTTTCCAACACAAAATCAACAAACTCACCTGGTCACAGTCAAACATCACCCCCATGTGTCCCATCCATCGTCGCTTCTCCTGGCCCTGCGCCTGTGGCGCCTGGTGCAGCGCGCACTGGCACAAGAAGCCGCTGGAGTCATCGAAGCTTTGTTGGCAGCTGATGGCTTCGTCGGACCTGGCAGAGCACGGGCGGAGCACTGGCGGAGGGCGGAGCACTGGGTGGGGTCCATAGTCATGGGGGATCCCCAATAGCTGGATGGTTTCTGGAAAATCCCAAAAAAAAATGGATGATTTGGAGGTACCCCTATTTCAGGAGACCTCAAAAATAACTCTTAAGACTTTTCTGGATGTTTTTTGTAGACCTTATTTTTGCACGAACTCTTGACTCTTCTGGATGTTCATATATGCGACTTCCACACCTGCGCGTACCAATTCCATTGCTTTCTAAATCAGAGGATTCCCTAATTCACATGTGCAGTGGTCATAAATTGGATTACTGTCTATATGCTATATGCTTTACATGCCATATTGGGGGATGGATTACATACCACCCGGACCTGTAATGGCCAATTAATAAGGATCCAGGATTCCCATTATGATGGAGTGTCATTCCCCATCATGTTTTGACCAAGGCACATGCGAGCGTGTATACGTATACAACTTATGCATCTCTGATAATCTGTGTATTGTTGTCATATGTGATTGTCATTGTAATTACTTGGTTATGATCTCGATGATCATCACTGGCTGTGCTTATGATGAAGTGTGCGGGTGTATGGGGAATCAATGAACATGCCATCTACTTGAATCTTTCACATCCACCCACCAAAAGTCTTCCGGGTCCCGGGTGTTTCCTCTCAACTTTGCCAAGGATGTGCACTGGGAACAGACGTGCCCAGTGCAACCATGAAAATACACAACACTCCAAAGTTTGAGCCCCGCCCCGGAGTTTTTTCACTGGTTCCACCTCAAGTCACAGCTGTGCAGGTGAGAGCTATAGGCCTTCTCGCAGGTCAGGCCTTCCCAAAACTGCTTGATCAATCCGTTGATTCCATCGAAGACACGCAACTTTTTGGCAAAAGGAACAGGCGACCCGAAACCAAGACTATTTTAATACACGAAACCATGTGCAAATCAAAAAAAACTGTTTCCCAGAAATGCCGGCACAGTTGTCATTCTGACTGAACACAAAAGGCAACTCATAGTTGATAAACCATGCCCAAAATCAGCAGGGAAAAAAAAACAAATGGTAGGGGTTATTCCGGAGTTTCCCCTTTTATTACGGTTACGATCCATGCCCATGTCTCACCTCAAACAGCGTTGCGCCTTGAGCTTGGCAGTAGCCAGAGCAATTTCCGTAGGATTTCGCAGCTTCAATGGCCACCTGCACTTTGCACTGCCCGCACTTCTTGCCTCGGAGGGCAAATATGATCGTCCCTCATGGGTTTTGAACCAAACTTGGGGCCGGGTGAAAATTATAATCCAATGTTGGTAGCTTCATATTTGAAAGATCCAATCTATTTGGTGGATCCGGTCGGATTATGCGCATTTTGAGACCAAAGCCATTTTGGGAGCTTGGAATTGTGAGCGGATCCTTTTCTCTACGAGGCAAATGAACGTTATTAGCCCATCACCCCCACCCCCAATAAAGAACGAAAAAACACACGTTCGGTTTTCAACCCGTAGGCTTGTCAATGACAGTGATAGACTGACAGCGCTGTGGTTGAATCCCCTTCCAGGCTTGGCCTGCAACATCAACCGATGTTTGGCCCCCAGCTTGGCTCTTGAGCATTGGGTTCCCGAACCGACACCTTTCCAAATGGGTTGTGGCGTCCCACAGTCCACCTGAGCGTGGTGTGCGTGGTTGGTGTAGAAAGCCAGAAGAATTTGGAGAGTGAAACCATGGTTTCCAACATCGAACCTGTGAACACAGTGTTGTGAATCGGGAGAAGTAAAAAATTGAATTGAGAAGCAGTTCCATGAGTGAAGTGGAGTCATATTCCAACATACTTCAACCAAGTGCTTAATTTGCGCAAATCAAACAGAAATGGTTCTTTCTGTTTCCAAGAGCAGCTGTATCTGACTAAGATGCAATTGTTGAACCTGAAATATTGGTTCGTTTTTGGCATGATTTTCCACATTTTGGTTGGTCTTTTCTGGAGGTCTTTATTTCAGGTTTGCCAGGAGTATTGCAAGTGAAATGTCCCGACAGAAGACTACGGTTGACCATGATGTATGCGATAAGACCACCTCATAGCAGGCTATTTCCCGGCTAGCAGGCTCGTATAATATCCCTGTTATATGTATACTGAATATAAATATATATATAGTATCCCTGGTTTTGCTGTTTTTGCCTTTCCGTTTGCATTTGCATGTTAAACGGGGTCAATGTGGCGGGCTGATCCTCACTTCCAAATGGGTTTCAAATGGGTTTATTCACCACTTCCCATCCCACGCCGAAAACGGCACCAGAGTAGTAATGCCAGCACGTTCGGCGGCTGTCGAGGTGGTATGCTTCACTGGTTGACCAGCCTGCCACAAAGTGTGGATCTGTGGAAAAGTTACGGAAAAAATCAGCCAAAACAGGAATTGCATGAAATCTCATGAAATTGTCAATGAAACCCGCAAAAAAAATTGGGATTTAACACATCAAAATGGGGAACAAACCTTTAAGAATTGGGAACTGAAATTCATGAACAGAAGGTGTAACCAACAGAAAAAACTTCACGGGCAAGAAAAGAATGGAAAATGTGGATTAAATGGTTTGAATATTAAATTGTTGAAACAACAAAAAACAAATAAAATATGAATATGTAAACAACCCACAAATGAAAATTTCAGCAACAAAAAAGGGCCGGTCTAAACCCAGAAAATTTGAAGCGGCCACCAAAAAATCTGTATGTAACCAGCAATTGGTGATATAGATTTATCCAGCAAAAACACGATCTGTTTGGGGCAACAAGCCAACAAGGTCTGGAATGTCGGGAAGATGCATTCCCCATGTGGACATTTTTGCCTGGCATGTCACCAAGTTGTTGTTTCATGAGCCACCACAGATTCAAACAAACCTCACATCCCAACCAGCCATCTCTTGCTGGACTCTGATGTCTTTCCAAAAACCAATGAAATCACTTAATTGATAGACAACCTACTTTAAGTGTCATTGAAGATTTCAATCTTTGTATCACCTACATTGGACCTACATCTTCGCCATTTTCAAGACAACCTCAACATCCAAGGGACTTGCCGGCACGTTTTCCCAGGGACCCAGCCAGAACACCCAACGCTCTCGGCCTCGCAGGCTGCTGTGTAGTACTTATCCTCTGCATGATTCACATCATAGGCGTGGCCTGCAGGTGCGAAGCATTACTTGGGTAACGGATCCATTGTTTGTGTTTAGCAAAAAACGAACTTTAAAACAACATGCCCAGAAAATAAAATATACAGTGTATACATATATTATACATTATTATACATATATTTTACATTATTATACATATATTTTACATTATTATACATATATACATATATACATATATACATATATACATTATTATACATATATTTTACATTATTATACATATATACATATATACATATATACATATATACATATATATATATAATATATATATATATATCACGATGACAATAATGATGACAATGAAAAACAATAATTATAAAACAATCTTACAAACAACATGGCGCCATCCATGTCATGGTTTTCCCCACATCACCTTCACCATGGAGGGCGAAATCATAGGGCTCGCAGAGGTTGCCGTTGTTCGAGTTGCAAGGCCTTGAGTTTGCCGGGAGGGCTAGATCCACTTATCACTTCCGAAATTTGGAGTGATTGAGTATCAAAATATTAGATCCATGTGTTTGATATTTAATCACTAATACTTAGATACGTCCACAATATTCATTATCTAAGTGATAGTTTGAGACACGTCCAATCTTTCAAAAAATTAGATATTATCTCGACAAGAGGCCCTAAACAGTGTTGGAAGGAGCATGACGAAGAGATACCAGGCTAGATTCTGCACGTTTCCTTTGTGAAGATCTCTGTAGAAGATCGTGTACAAGATTTCCTTGATAGGTTCTCTGTAGAAGCTGCTGTGCAAGATCCCTTTGTAAGGCTATTTGTACAATATGTCTATAAGAGATCTCCACGCAAGATCTCTGTAGAGATCTCTAAGTCTAAGTGCGATCTCTGTTCAAGCTGTCTATAAGAGATCTCTTAGCAAGATCTCTGTTCTCTTCACCAGGTCTCTGTACAAGATCTTTACAAGAGGTCTCTTGGCAAGATCTCTGTAAGAGGTCTCTGTACAATGTACAAGATCTCTATAAGAGATCTATTGGCAAAATCTATGTACAAGCTCCCTAAAAGAGGTCTCTTGGCAAGATCTCTGCGCAAGGTCTGTATAAAAGACCTCATTGAGATCTACGCACAAGATCTCCTTGACTATGAAAATGGGCACCGCACCACAGCGAGACTGGGCCAATTGGAGTCCCAACTAATCCCCCGGGCATTTCGATCGAGGGATGGGAGTTGCTTGTGGGTACTGGACTGGTCCATGCTTTTCGCATTTTTTAACATGGGAAGGGCTGACTGACTCGGGTTGATCATGACGAGTCTCAGCGCCCACAGCACCAGAAACAGACTAGATTCTGAAGCAAATTATATACATGTTCAGTTCAAAATCTTTGTCCCAAGTCTAACTGGTAATTGGAAGCACCCTCTGGTCAACAAAGACAGCATGGGAAATCCTCGGGATTGTACAAAATGATGGTTTCTACAGTTCTACTTTGCTTAGAAGCAATTGATTTTACATATTCTACTTATCTAGCAAATGGTTTCTAGTATTCAGCAAATGGCTTCTAATATTTAGCAAATGGTTTCTGGTATTTAGCAAATAGTTTCTACCTGTGCAAGAAATAGTTTCTGGATTTTACAGAAATTGCAAATAAAGAAGCCAACGCAGCATAATTTCCAGATTTCGAACTTTCTTTTTTGGGGTTCCAAGAAATCACCATGTCACAATCGTCGGCTCTTCATAGGTCCAACCAGCCAAGCCAACCAAGCCAAGCGGCACTCCACCGCACCAAACGCAGGGCTGCCCCTCAACCTGTCAAAATAATGCAGCTGAAGGAGACGTCCCAGGACCCTAGGTGTTGGAATGTTTGGGGTTCCCAATTTTTTCATCATGTGGATCTCTATGTTCAATGATGGATGGCTTCTGGGGAAGCTATTCAGAGTCCAACAAGTGCTGGTTTTTGAGCACTTGTAAATCCTCTCTGTAAAGAAACTGATGCTTCCAATCTTGGCTGATTGGAGTAGTGCACACCTTGACAATGTGGTGAAACAATGTTATTCAAACTTCGCACGTTCTTAAAAAAAAAAAACGTTGTAAAACTAGGAGGTGCGGCGTCCCCCACTCACTTGTTCCCCCCCCTGAGAGATGATTTCCCTCAGATATCACAACTTCAAGGTTTGGTGCCCTCAATGGATTTTCAAGGCACCGGCCTGCAATCCGGCCACTTGATCGTAAGGTCGACCGTCAAGGCTGCTGAGGCACGTATCCATGTCCTGGACGTTGGGTCTGGCTCCAAAAAATGGGGTGGTTTTAACACCCCCCAAAGTTTGGCAGAATGGTGAAATGATGATTGAACATGAGATGATGCCCTATCCTATTTCCAGGCAAACCCATCTTTTTTTAGAAAAAAAATGCGGAAAATCAACAGCTTTGAGTGAAAATTCAGCGTGATCAAAGAATTGCAGGAATACCGCTGCTGTAAGAAATCAGGAATACCTCCCAGGTCCGTATTTTTGATGCTTAAATCTGGGTTGAACCAGCATGTTTGTAGATTCCCATTCTTGTGGGCGATAAACCCATGTTGGTTGGCCAAATCACCTTTTTTTGCTGGGACCGTCCCGCTTATTTCCCGGGTAACCGCAATTTTTTGTCGGTCAACTCATCATTTTTATTGATCAAATCACCACTTTGTCGTTACTCAGACTCACTCCAATTTCTTGTGGGTCAAAACTTATCCAAAACCACCATGTTTTTGTGATTTCTAGTGGTTTCTCAGAGTTTCTGCTCATTCGTTTCCTGAAAAACCGTCCCCGGGTGCTTCGCACGGCTCCTTGATGCTGTTGCAGCCCTTCTCTTGACGTTTCAGGCAGCCGAGGTTGCCAAAGCTCCGCTTAGGCGCCTGAAGGTCAATTGATTTTGGTTGATTTTGGACGTGTTTGAAAGTGGTTGGTTGATGTTTGGTTGATGTTTGTTTCACTGGATTGGTTTAAGGGAAAATCTACAGGAAACCATTGTTTTTACCATCAAATATAGGGGTTTCCTGTAAAATTTCCCATCATCCAATTCTATGTTTGTTGATTTTCCAAGGATTTTTAAGCCAGAAAGCCATCAGATGTCAGATCTTTCCACTTGACAAATATGTCTTGTCTTTCCTCCAGAGTGTCACTTCAATCAAAGTCTGGCTCCTTCTGCACTCACGCAGGTGACACAAGATTCAATTGGATGGTTGGCTATTTGGATGAAGGAATTCATCCCCTACCAGTTGTCCGGCAGTAGGTTTAAACCCTCTAAGGCCCTGTTTTTTGCAGTCGCAATCCACCCCCGATGCCTCGCACTTGGCCACGTCCACATTTTCTGCGGCCTCAAGGGCTCCGGCCCTTCAACCTTTTGAAGCCTGTATTTTTGTGAGGGCTTTCGACGAGATTTTCCGGTGTAGCTGCTTTCTTCAGGGTTCTTCAGAGTTTGCCGAGGGCTTCTCATGTTTCTCCCTATGAAAAGAATGGTCAAAACAGCTTCGTCCTTTGCTGTTTACAACTTGAGCGAAAAGCTGGATATCCGAAAACCAAAAGTAACCCCTAAAAGTCTGGCTGCATGCCCAACTGGGACAAATCCAATGGCAGTAGTGACTCCAATCCGTTACGATTTCAATTTTTTAATTCATCCCCAATCTCTTACAATAAAATTGCCGAATGATGTGGTTACCCAATGTTAGTGAAGCAGATTGGTAAAGAATTCCCCACATTTTACCATTTTCTGTCGGTGTAAAGCATCAATCCATGTGGGTGGTGTAAACCACTCGCGGCCCCTGAGTGCTCGTGCAACGTGACGATGGACAAAGGCCTGGAACGATTTTTTGGATCGAAATCCCAAAAGAACGGTGGAACCAAAGCTGGAAGGTCAAAACCCCAAAACAACTGGTGAACATCACCTAATGAAGAGAAAGAGAGAGAGAGATAGATTAGATTAGACTAGACTAGATTAGACTAGATTAGATTAGATTAGATAGATAGACAGTATAGACAGTATAGACAGTATAGACAGTATAGACAGTATAGACAGTATAGACAGTATAGACAGTATAGACAGTATAGACAGTATAGACAGTATAGACAGTATAGACAGTATAGACAGTATAGACAGTATAGACAGTATAGACAGTATAGACAGTATAGACAGTATAGACAGTATATACAGTATAGACAGTATAGACAGTATAGACAGTATAGACAGTATAGACAGTATAGACAGTATAGACAGTATAGACAGTATAGACAGTATAGACAGTATAGACAGTATAGACAGTATAGACAGTATATACAGACAGTATAGACAGTATAGACAGTATAGACAGTATAGACAGTATAGACAGTATAGACAGTATAGACAGTATAGACAGTATAGACAGTATATACAGTATAGACAGTATAGACAGTATAGACAGTATAGACAGTATAGACAGTATATACAGTATAGACAGTATAGACAGTATAGACAGTATAGACAGTATAGACAGTATAGACAGTATAGACAGTATAGACAGTATAGACAGTATATACAGTATAGACAGTATAGACAGTATAGACAGTATAGACAGTATAGACAGTATAGACAGTATAGACAGTATAGACAGTATAGACAGTATAGACAGTATATACAGTATAGACAGTATAGACAGTATAGACAGTATAGACAGTATAGACAGTATATACAGTATAGACAGTATAGACAGTATAGACAGTATAGACAGTATAGACAGTATAGACAGTATAGACAGTATAGACAGTATATACAGTATAGACAGTATAGACAGTATAGACAGTATAGACAGTATAGACAGTATAGACAGTATAGACAGTATAGACAGTATAGACAGTATAGACAGTATAGACAGTATAGACAGTATAGACAGTATATACAGTATAGACAGTATAGACAGTATAGACAGTATAGACAGTATAGACAGTATAGACAGTATAGACAGTATAGACAGTATAGACAGTATAGACAGTATAGACAGTATAGACAGTATAGACAGTATAGACAGTATAGACAGTATAGACAGTATAGACAGTATAGACAGTATAGACAGTATAGACAGTATAGACAGTATAGACAGTATAGACAGTATAGACAGTATAGACAGTATAGACAGTATAGACAGTATAGACAGTATAGACAGTATAGACAGTATATACAGTATAGACAGTATAGACAGTATAGACAGTATAGACAGTATAGACAGTATAGACAGTATAGACAGTATAGACAGTATAGACAGTATAGACAGTATAGACAGTATAGACAGTATAGACAGTATAGACAGTATAGACAGTATAGACAGTATATACAGTATATACAGTATATACAGTACATATATATATATATATACAATGTGTATATATATATATATACAGGGTGGGGCCCCATAGGTAGCTAAGTTGCTTCACAACTCCAATCACTACGGGTTCTATGGGTGATATAACGATAGTTCAGTACCCTGGGCGCCACACCAAGCCCTTGCCGTTCACCAGGTAGTCGCGGGCTTCACAGAGGATCGCGGGATCTTTCGATGTGCAAGGCCTTGGGGGAGCAGAAAAAGGGATCTTTAATCATGATTAAGCTCCCAAGGTATACTTATGGTAATAGCCATGATATATCATGCTTTAACCATGATTTTATCATGATATATCATGATATAACCATGGTAATAGCCATGGTTTTTTCGCTGGGATATAAGATCATATTAAAGCCCGGCTTACTATGGACTATGCTTGTCCACTTATTTTCGTGGAACTGCAACCCCAAGTAGAGAATGGACCCAAATCATCTGTGATGCTCCGTTCATTAAACTTCACCGGACACCAATTTTTTGAATGGGGAACCCCAAAGCCAACCGGACATTGTGACATACCACTAAAGTAGACCAGCCAACTATCCCGAAGAAATTGGAATCCAGCGGCGCATCAGCATCGACATCGTAGAGTCGTAGAGATTAACTTTTCTATTTTTCTGGGTGCCCAAAATGGCCTTGGCAACTCGCAGTCAAATGCCTTCTAGACCATCATTCGGGTACGGGTGAAGAACCTTTCGGATGTGTAATACCAGAGCTAGCATAAGTTGAATGTTTGACATCAGCAACTCAAAGCCACAAGTGTGGTGTGGCTTTGTAGGTCTGGGGCCTCCATTGTCCAGCAAATGCAATTTCTATCTGCTAGATTCAATTTCACCCCAGCCATGACTTTGCCCATAACTGGGTGATATATATATATACCCCAAAAAATGCTGTTTTCATTTGGAAAGTGATGATGAGCCATTGGATTTTGGCATACCTGATTTTCAGACAGACCCAAATGTCACTTCCCTCTCCAGCCCACCCCTGCGTGCCCAGTCTGGGTGGGCCCCACGCACCGCCACACCACACGCAAGGCTCTCCCTTTACCTTGAGCCCCTTGACAGAGTCCTGCAAGCCATCGTCAATACTGCCTTGGTCAAGCAGCTGGGATTGCGGAAAAACCACCGCAAGGCTTGGAACTTTGAGGCTGGATCCAACAATGGATATGGATACCCTCCAGGAAAAATAAACATGGAGACGTCGATACGGAAGTCCATAGGTTTCCCTGTGAAAATTGTCTATAAATGGTGGACTGTCCATATCTATAACTAGACGACGGATGGCCCGAGAGCAAAGAGGAGCAAGTTACTCAGTTGTTACTATCAAGACAATGTTAGTACCAGATGTATGGTATGCAAAAGAAAGCAAATGTTGCAGATGATCACACAATCCTTTTACACACAATCCTTTTACACACAAACACTTTTGCACACAGACGATTTTACACACAGGCCCTTTCGCACACAACGACTTTTACACAGAAGCACTTTTACACACAGACGTTTTTACACACAGACGCTTTGACACACAGACCCTTTTACGCACAAACACTTTAAACGCAGACGCGTTTACACACAAACACTTTTACATAAAAGCAATTGTACACAGACCCTTTGACAGGACCAACCAAACTAGCAAAAAAACCTCAGTTTTGGACACTCGAACCTCATTTCGTGCGAAAGGGTTGCCGTCGGACCAACCAAACTCGCAAAAACCATCAGCTTTTGACACTCGTTTCGTGCCAAAAGGTTGCCGCCGAAGGATGTAAAAACACTCGAACCTCATTTCGTGCGAAAGAGTTGCCGCCGAAGCGGTAAAATCGCAAATTTACCGCAGTTTTTCACACTCGACCCTCTTTTCGTGCGAAAGGGTTGCCGCCGAAGGATGTAAAATCGTAATTTTACCGCAGTTTTTGACACGCGAACCTCATTTCGTGCGAAAGGGTTGCCGCCGAAGCGGTAAAATCGCAAATTTACCGCAGTTTTTCACACTCGACCCTCTTTTCGTGCGAAAGGGTTGCCGCGGACACGGTAAAATCGCAAATTTACCTCATTTCGTGCGAAAGGGTGGCCATATCGTGGCACCTCGTCGGCACTGCTTGCAGCCTTAAGAGAGAAAAGAAAAAGAAGGAGAGAGACCGTCACAAAGGTCAAGAGAGAGAGAGAGAGAGAGAAAAAAAAAGAGACAAAGAGAAAAAGAGAAAAAGAAAAAAAGAGAAAGAGAGAGAGAGAGAGAAGATGTGAAGATGTGAAGATGAGAAGATGTGAAGATGTGAAGATGTATAGCAGACCCCCACTTTTAGAAGAACCCTTCGCTCAGACGCTCTCGGGAAAAATTGACTGGAGAGTATACCTCTGATGATCTAACATGCACCTGTGGATTTCCGGTCAATGACTTGGCCACATGGATCAAGATCCAAGACTGCCGCTCCCCAAACTTCACGGAACGTCCTAAAAACAACCAACGCTTTGTCATCATTTCCCATAAGAACAGCAAATTCGAGGTATCCTCACGGTATCCTCCATCTTTTTAAGCCAAACCCCACTGTTTCCTCCCAAAAGATGCCCAGTCAGCAAGGGCCAATCCCACGTCATCCCAGTGGCTGAGGCAGTTGAGGCGGTCGGTGATGGCCCTGCATCCTTTCTCCTCAGGAAAGTGTTGCATCTCTGAGGTGAGACCAGTGACACCTGCTGATTTTCTTCCGGATTCGTCTTGGAATGGCCTTTAACAATCATCTAACTGCATACCTTAAAAATCCATATATCAGGACAGACTCATCGACTTCAGGATCCGAAGTTTCAGTCGACTTCACCACAGAAAAGCCACAGGAGCGCACGGCTTTCTTCAAGCACTGCATGTCTACCTGCAAGGAGAATCAACAACATGACAACATGTTTGTGCGGAGCGTCTTGTGAACCATGAAATGGGGACGTGCCATAATAACACACAGATACATATATACATATATATATATATATTATTATTATATATATATATGATTGAGGATAAAACTTATGTAGGGAATATTGTATCAGTAAACGGTTTATCATACAGGTGTCGAGTTGCTCCAGGTCTTAAGCGCCCCCTCCCTCCACCAGTGCCTTACTGGGCGACGCCAACGCCTTGCCAAAATCCTCATTGACTGCCTGGCAGAAGCGCCCAGACAGGTACAGTGGCTGGAGTCAAGAAATGACATACCCTCTGGTTATGTCAAAATAGCTATTGAAAATGGCCATCTGTAGTGGATTTTCCCATTAAAAATGGTGATTTTCAATAGCTATGTTAGTCATTACCAGAGGGTAAGATTGTAGCCCAAAGTATTGCCACCATCTGCACAACATCACTTCCTGAAGAATCTGAACCTGTCTATTGGAAATATTGAAATGGTGATGTCTTAAAAATGGAAAATTCCCAGTCGTCACCATGGGTTAACCTATACTAAGTCATGCTCATTCATAGCCTTCACGGTCGATTCGAAGGAGCACTCACAGAGGCCATGCTCATAGACCTGGCGAAGTCCAGGTCAACCACCTTTGGAAAAACATCCGCAAAAACGTGTCAGTGTCGACTACAATCAATGAATTGTTTTTTTTCGGGAAAAATTACAGGAAACCCCCTATTTCAATGGAAAGTCCAATGGCTTCCTGTAGATTTTCCCTTTAACCAACCCATTGATAAAAAATATTAAAAAAGTGTCAAAGCAGAATCTCCACTCTATTGCCATCTGAGCCATCTCCATCTCCACTGCCTGGAAAGCGTAGTCGCAGGATTTCTTTTCTTTCCTGTCGAAAGACGGCGTGACACTGCCATGGTGGCCTTTGGACGAGATAACAGGTCAGCTGAAGGATTTTTAGTGAACCAATGGAGTCAATGGTAAAGTCATCTTCTCATTGCGGGATCCAGCTGTGGCGCTTCCAAATAAGCCCACCGCAAAGTCATCCCTTCAGCATCCATCCCCCGATGGCGCACAGATCGCAGCTGGAAATGGAACCCAAGGACGATGAAGCGCACTGCAAGTTGCCTGAAACCGGGCCAGTGACAGGCTTTTTCACCCCAGGTCAGTTTCAGGTGCAACCAGTGGTTTCCTCACAACCCGGAAATCAATGGAAATGCCCATCTGGCGGAATCATCAATGGAGATCCATTGCCGTCTTGGCCAAAGGATAAAGGTATCAACTCATGTGATCCTGCCTTGTGAAGCACAGTAGTCCTTGCAGGTCTTGTAGTCTTCCTACGGCACTGGGTGATCTTTCCAGCTCAAGGATGGCTACGCAGCAAAATCTAAGAGTAGCCTGTTGAACATGGTGAATGGATATTTTGGTAAATGGATATGGATATGGATTTGGGTAAATCTAGAATAGATGGTAAATGGATATTCAACTCCTCCAAAGACCGTCTTGGCTTTGACCGACCCATCCCCTTCTGTTTTGCAGGATCAAAGACTTGGTTCCTTGAACGCCACTTCCAGACCTTTCATGTCCTCGCTTCTGCAACGGTCACCAGGGGTCCCCAAGTCATCTCCCAACAGACCTTGATGCTTGGCACCAATACTTTGCAAAAGCCACACCGTTGGCCTCGGGATTGAACGACTGATGCAGGAAGTTCCCTTCAACTATACATGTCCACCCATGTAGAAGGCTCCAAAAATGGGGAGAACCTATACCCCACCATTCTACTCCATTCTGGCAGGAAAAGCCTGGAGTCTCACCATCAAGGCCGACTCCCTCGCTGGGCCTCCCTACCCACCTTGGCCCACACCGGGAAAGGCTTCCCGCAGTCCACCTGGGGAAGCTGGTGGAACAGGCTATGATGAAATCCCTTCCCCCCATGTTCTGAAATACCCAAAAAAAAACTGTGTGAATATTGGACTAATTCATTTTGGGATATGGATGGCGTGTAATATGAGGGGGGATGGAATTGTATATATATATATATAGCTACTGTGAAATACTATGAATGGTGCTAGAAGAGCCCTGCCTGTAAGTGGACTGTGCACAGCACCTGGGGATATTCTGTGGTCATGTAAATCCGGGAGGATACATTTGGCGTATTTTTCTATCGTTGGTGGCACCCCAAAAATCACAGACACCATCTACATATCTGTATGTAGTATGAGTAATGTCAACCCTGGATTAATAAACCCCAAACGGCTGTTTAATTGGGAGGGTACCATTGAAGTATCAGATAATGACTGTTGGAGGAGTACCCCCTAATTAATAAACCATGGTTTATGAATCCGGGGTTGCCATTACTTCCTAGTTACAGAAGCATCAAACACCAGGCTGAGATTCCCCGGCATGCATCCGCATGCCATGGATCTGCCAATCTGCTGGTAGCATTTCGGCACCCGGCTGGGAATCCTGCCACAAGACTCCGGCTCGAGGTGAAAATCTGGAAGCCATGGGTTTTCCACATGAAATACCCTCTGGTTATGATCAAAATAGCTATTGAACATGGCCATTTGTAGTGGATTTTCCCATCAAAAATTGCCATTTTCAATAGCTATGTTAGTTTACCAGAGGGTAACTATTAAATATATAGGGGGGTCCTGTAACATGTCCCTCAATTCACTGGGAAAGCATTGCGCATTTCGGGTGCGATTGCTCCCCAACACATCTGAGCCTCTGCCATGTTTCACCACATTTGGACCACGCCCCACAGCAACGCCCAATCGCTCCTTGTTGCAAAAGGCCTTGTAGAAGGGTCCATGGCCTGGTTGCTGCTGACACTTTGCCACCCTCCTCCAGACTGTCCCAAAATGATATAAATCTAAATATATAATTAATCTGTCGAACTGGGGTCAAAACCCCTAGCCTGGTGAAGCCAAAAAATAGCTGGGATTTATGGATGTTCATCCCCCCAAATGTGGTGTTGTAGGCTTTAAATGGTACCCCATCTCGACAGGATCATTTTGGCTGCCACCAGACCCCTCTCCAAGTGCCACGGAGCCGCTGTACTTGGTGTGAAAGGCATGACCTACAGATGCGACAACGTGGCAAGGACCAGAAGGATATGGAGCAAGAGGTATGGCTACGCAAAATGTTGGGAAGCCTACCAGAATGTTGACAGAGACTGAGGCAAACAGAATGGCACTTTTTTTTATTCAAATTCCAGATGCTCCATCCCGCAGAGCTTCCGGCCAGCACCATAAAGTGCATAGTCGTAGGGCTCGCAAAGAGTGTCTTCACCATCATGGCATTGCCTAGGCAACAGCTTTGGATGGGCCAAGGGATTGGGGGCCATTCAGCTGCAGATGTCGATATGTGTACCACTCTTGCTGGCAATATGCGTGTCATCACCCCAGTGACAAGATACTCAGAAACACTGGTTCCTAAGTCAAGCAACTGGGTTCTTCCAATACGTCATATTTGGGATATAACTTATATAACCATGAAAAACCAAGAAAATATCCTTACTCAGTTGTGCTTGCGTTACATCACCATGTGTCGCCATGTGCGCTCAAGCCGCAAGCCCACATATGTTATTGGTCCGTTCACAGTACCCTGTCACATCGCAGGTTTTTGACCCGCACCCCTCTATGAACCCCCAAACATGTCGAATTCTGAACATCAAAATGTACGAATATCCAAAGCATTTGCAAAAAAAAACGAAAAAAACTCGGCATTTGCGCTGCAATTTCACATCCATTCTGGAAAGCTTAACCTCAAAGCCCTGAGTTGGGCAGCGGCACCCACCGCCACACCACACGCAAGGCTGGCCCTTGACCTGGTTCAGAGGTTTCCAAAGTCATGGAGGTGCCCCAAATCATCCGGTCGTCATGGATGACCATGACTTAGTATTGAAACCTACAGTATGACTTTGGAGATCCCCAATTTTAGGAAACCCCCAGATGGGTTGTATGCAACGAGCCCAAGTGGCGCCTTCAAAGACTAAATCATCCAATTCTTGAGAGACTACCCAATAAAACTTCACCCAAATCCAGTGCTTTTGTCCCTTTGGAACCCAAACACCAGAGTTTCCCAGCTAACATCACCCCTTTCCATAGATTCTTCCCAAATGTCTTGGAAAAAATGGCCGAGTCCTACCCTCCAAGGCCTGGAACCCAACGGAGCCTTGAACCCTGCGATGTATTCGTAGGGCCGCTCCTCTCGGCTGTTCGTGCAGGTGACCGAATCCTGGAAGATTCAGGTCGGAGTTGTCATCCCAAACCAGGAGCGGGGAGGAAAAAACTTGGAGTGTTTTTTTTGTGGCAACCCACAACTTCTGACTGCCAGCAATTGAGGTTTGATTCGAAACACTTCAAACGGAGAAGAAAAAGGGAATCTCTACTGCTTTTGCCGCCAAAAAGCCGCAACTTTCATCATTTGAAAAGCACAAGCATCCACACACACAAGGACAAAGAGATGTACAGTAAGCTATGAAAGAATGTCTTAGCTACCATGACCAATGTGGTAATGTGGTAATGCCATGATAAAAACCATACCTGATTCAAACATCACCAAGATTTGGGGTTTGCTAATCCCATCTCCCTGATATGAAATACCCTCCTGTAAATTAACGTGTGCAAGAGCCACCATTTGAAGATCATGTTCCAACATCGGAACCCCTGGATTTGCATGGGGATTTTCCACATCTATGTTCGTGTACCCTAGGATACTCCCCAAGAAACCTTTGTTTAGTATTGGATGTGGTACTTTTCGGGGGCCCCACAATATGGGCGCAGCACATGTCCCCGCACCCGGATCATGTTGCAGCCCTTCTCAGCAGGCCTCGGTTTTGAAAAACCACAGCTGAGATGGGATTTATCAGCAATACCTTGGGATTTAGAAACTCGTGTAGATCATATGCCTGTATTTCTTACATGTATATGTATATACATATATATGTATAAATGAGGATTGATTGATCTTAACTCTAAACCATCCCCAATTTACTGGAGGCTTATCATATTCAGTTGACCCGATGACACCAAAGTTTCTGTTGTAAAACTCAATCTTCACCTGTTTCCAAGTGATTATGTTGTTTCACAAGACAAGCCAGAAATGACCAGCAGCCATTTTCCAGCACCATTTACCAAGCAAAGTCCAGGGGCCCCCGACTTCAAGCACCCCACATCAGCATCGCTGAACTGCATCTCTTGTTCCTCAGGAACCGAAAGGTGAACAGAGTGGAACTGCTAAAAATTTTGGGGCATCCACCTATTTCCTGTTGGGTTCAATTCTGAGGAAGCATGTTCAAACCCACTGATACATTGAAGAAATGAGATAGCCCCAGTACTGAGACTTGTTTGCATCGCACAAAATGGAGGTCACTACCAAGTGTGAGAAAAACTCTGCAAAGGCTGGCTAGTTTAGTCCATTTATCATGGTCGAGTCCTATGGCCCAAGAAATGGGATTGTTTGCTATAGAAATCACACCAATCTCTGGTCAAATTTTGACCTGCACCCAGACCAAGACAAGTTGTTTCGGCGTAAATTGTGTTGGGTGTCGATGGTTTTTTGGGGCCTTTGGGTCAAAGTGTACTCGTGGTTCCACACCCACATAAACTGTGGCTCTTTGGCATTTTTCAACAGTCTAAGATTTGTTTTTGTGAAAAAGAGGTGTTGGCTTGGGCCCATCATCTACTCCTGTGCGAATCGACCAACCAACAGGACACGGATCCCTTATAATCCATCATACCCATGTACTTCACCTTTAGTTATTCTTAAAATAATCTTCATCAAACCAAATATACACCCTATAAATATATATATATTTTTAAAAAAGAAAAACATCAGCCAGTGTGAATTCAGGACATCTACCGTTGGCGTCCAGATCCGAGACCCCAGCATGACACTCTGCCACGGTGGTGCTCACGGTCTCACAGGTTGCTCACGGAAGAGGATAGGTCGGATAGGACCCAGGGAACCAGTATCCATAACCCGGGCTTTCCGACAGCTTGGCAACTCAGAGGATTTGGGCAGGACTTCCACCTCCACCTGGGGCCCCGGACCATGATTTGTGCAAAGACCTGCGCCAGGTTGCAGGCCAGCAGCGATCAATAGCGAGTTCACCATAGTTCACCCACTTCACCCTGCAAAAAATATGGGATTTCGGAATTGAATCCGCACCAATTGGAGACAATCAACTGGCGATTTTTTTGAGGGGGAAAATCCGCCAGTTTTGGACATCCGAAATGCTGAATCCTGTACAGCCCCATCCCTACCCATTCATCCGGCAAGTGCTTTGGGGAAGCACCGATCTTTCATTTGCAGCTGAGTAGTCAGAATATTCAAAAGCCATGGGTGAAAATTGAGAATAGAAATCATGAAAATGATGAGAGTTATGATTATAAATATAATTGATAGTAATTGTCGTCGTCATCATTATCGGTGATACATCACGATGTTTGCTTGTACAAAGCCCTTTCTCGTCGCTCAAAGTCACATATGCCTGGTTGGCTGCTACGCGTTCACTTTTCCTGACCCACATTGTTACTGGTTGAATCCCATACTTCTGGATGAAAGCTTATGTTTAATTGCGTGTAGATGATCTAACCAGAACACAAGGAACATAACCATGGTTGAGAATTCCACCAAAGCATGATTTTCTCCGGTAGAATGCATGCCCGGTTCTTAAATGTTCATGATTCAATCATGTCCATAGCCACAAAAGGGGTATGATCTCTACTCCCAAAGAATCACCACCTGTCATCTGTCTTCCAAGATTCCCAGGCGCCCCCCCTCCCCAACTGTGCATGGATACGTTTTTCGTCATACCGAGTCATAGCCTTTTGGTAATTTACCATGGCTAAAGAAATCACATGGTAAATCATCTACTTAAATGGGCCATGTGAACATCCATTTTATATAGCTATGTGGGCTATGTGAAATTACCTCTGGGTAATTCACAATGACCAGAGCCAACCAACCAACAGTTCTGCCACTCAAAGGGCGCCTTTCCGGCGCCATGCGCCAGGTACTCATAGGCTGCACAGACCGCGTCGGAGCCATCGGTGCACTTCCTTGGAGATCGGGCGAGTTCTAAGTGGTGACGGCAGAAACAGAATGCAAAGAATACCCTCTGGTGAACTAACATAGCAATTGAAAATGGCCATAGAAATAGTGGATTTTCCCATTAAAAATGGTGATTTTCCATTGCTATGTTAGTTCACCAGAGTGTACATCAAATAGACAAATGAAGTAATAGATAAATAGATCTGATATAAATGAGATTAAATGAGTAAATAAATAGATACAAAATATACATGTGCATGACTGTGCATGTATAAGTGGTGCTTCATCTTAAATTCTGTCAGGCAAAGTCTCCCTAGAACTGACCAACATGGATTCCTCCTACAGAACATACAGCTCTTGCAACTGCTCCGAATGGTGAGATACGTAATGCAATAGATGAATGTATGAACATGTATGAACCAATAAATTATATAATAACCTCACTAAAATGTGGGCGCCCAAAAAACAAATCTGTTGAAAATCCCCACTTTGATGCTGTGCCAATTGGACATACCTATAGTTCATGATGAGATTCGCGACGGCACACACGATTTTCTGTGACTTCGTGCGTTAGCCGTTAAACAACTCGCACAGAGGAACCAGTCCGCAGACATGCCGATACCTCTGTGCTATCGCAAGGATGTGGCTGAGAAATGGGAAATGTTGGGGGTTAGGGTCAGCAAACTGTTAATCCATTCTTAGAGGGCTACCTGCCGAACCATGCCCAAATTTGCGTCCATCTGGACCATGAACTTGCTGGCAAGAAGGAACACTTCTTCGCCGTTCCCCCTGTACAGTGCAGTCTGTTCAGGAACTAATTGCTGTTCTGTGCGGCCAATTTCTAATTATGAATTCAGCGTCTAAAAAAACGTGATGAAAACAGGCCTTCCTGATTTGTGATATCTAGAAATCTCACCTGGAAGATTCCAAATATCATCTTGAAACACAGTGATTGACCCGGTGAAATTTCACATGGAAGTGGCTTTGCCCAAGGGTTTTCCCAGTAGTTCTGGCAACTCCTTTGGGTTTGTCAATTTTCAAGTGAGCAGTCCACAAAAAACTGCTTGGTTACTAGGGATTTCCCATAATGATGATGATAATCCCCAATGTATTGGGAAGTATAACTCCGTGTAATCATCAGCCAACAGTTGAAAGCAGCCACTGCTGAAGTGAAATTCCTGTGGATCCCTCAACTGCTCCCACGAAGGCGTTTGCTTTGGGGAGGTCCGTTCCAATCCTTCGCGGAGAACGGCTGAGCTGGGAATACCCTTTGCATCTCCCAAATCAAAAGGTGGGTTGTACCCGTCTTGGACTGGGATGCACATCCACATTAAGACACTGTGAAAATGGAACTAGAGAACCCAAGAATTTAGCACTTCTGATGAGGCAAGTGTATAATCTTTCAAAGCCATTCTTGGGGCCCACGTGGGTTGAAGGAGAGTCCATCAACTGTCAGGGTCTCGGATTTTCAAAAAGAACCGTTTGGTCACCCCATGTCAGCCCGCTCCTTGAAGTCGCAGAAGTTCCTCTTGGATCCACATCGGAAGTATCTGTCACCATTCTTCTTGTATTGAACTTCTGCTGATCGTCCACAATAGCAAACTGGCAGCATCTGAATAAATTTACAGCCACCACCTGAAGCATTTCCCAGTGGACAAAACAGGATGTCCCGTCCAAAGTTTTCGGGTTTCCCATTGGTCACCGTTCTCTGCACTGCAGCTTGCCCGCAGTCACAGTAGTGCCTGACCCGCTTCAAGGCCACCAGAAAGTCAATGTTCAAAGCAGCTGGGTCGAAAACCACAAACTCTCGGAAGCGTTTCACCTTCTTCCCGACCTCTGCCAGGATGCTGACCTTCCCTCCCTTCAAAGCTGATCGACTTTGGTCCTTGAAGATTTTCTTGCCAGTCACAGCAGTGGCGCCATCTTGAGTGACAACCATCTCTCCTAGAGCCGCTCGACATACCAAGGCATAGTAGACCTCATTGGCATGCTTCACGCCCCTCTCATAGAGCTTCTTGTGCAAGGCGTACAAGTCATGCTCGGGCACATTGCCCTTCCATGCCGGATCCTTCGTTAGATACTGGTCCACCTTCGCAGCGTCTTCAGCCAAGTAGGTTCCCTTGCCAAACAGCCCATCCATGGAGAGATGTGGATCCAAGCCTTCAAAAAGGATGTTGTACAAATGCTCCGGTTTTGTCCCGTGGAGCAGCAGCATCTCGTTCTTGCCGGCCTCTAAGGGCCTGGAGAGAAGAGCATCTTGCATCCCAGAGAGCTTGGACTGCACCAGGGAATCCTCACCGGAAATCCGATCCCAAAATCAACGCTACTACAGCTTGGGGATACTCATATTTAATCCCTTCAAGCCAGTCATTTTTCCTTGGTCTCTGAGTCAGCCATTAGCCACAGAACCAGCTGACATGACAAAGCTAGGCCGTTGCTTGACCTGCCATTTCCCCGACCCAGACCCGGCCCAGCGGCCCAGCATTCCTGCCCCACTTTCGGAAGAGTTTTCACGAACTCCACATATCGCTTCTCTCGCTGGTGGTTCGACACTCGCCAGGCGCACTCCACCTGAAATCTGAATATTTTGGAGCCATGGGTGTGTTTGGAAATATGGTACACCCCTCCAAATGTTGTGTATGTTGTTTTGATAGGGAAGATAGGTATTGACTAGTGGATTTTGATCCCTTTTTCAGGCACTTTTGGTGGTACAGCTATCCATTGAAGGCCTTGTATGGTGAGACAGCTATCTATAGATCGTTTCATGGCTGGCTGATACATCCAATTTAGAGAAATGTCACTATCATTCAATCTAGATTAATATATAAATTAATATACCGCCATAATTCCCGATAAAACGTAAACAGTCTAGGTATTGAAGGCAATACGCCCATTTTAAACCGTTCTACCACGAGTTAGCACCCAATGCTGATACCATCCATGAGTCACTCACCTTGAGGTAGTCGTAGGGAGTCACACCATCTTCGCGATAGTCGCGCCCAACGCCAGTCTTGGTGCCACAGGGAATGTCGAAGAGCCTGCCACCGAATTGGCTTTGTCCGGAAAGGATTTCCCCCACTCGATGGCAATTACCCTCTGGTAAACTAACATAACTATGGAAAATCACCGTGTTTTTCATGGGAAAATTCACTATAAATGGTGATGTTCCATAGTTATGTTAGTTTACCAGAGGGTAGAATATGATGGGGAAATGACGAAAAAAACCACTGGATTCTGGGGGTAGTTTTCGCGGTGGCTTGAGCCTTTGGAAGCAGAGTCTCCATGTTTGTCTCAATTCTGGTACAGGGCGAAGCAGGCATCGATCACTCAAAAACACATGGAACATCACACCCGAAATCACTGTCCTGATCCTTTCCAAGGACTACTGTGCTCGCTCCTCGCTAGATATGGATTGTTCATGGCTTTTTTGCCTGTTTGTGTTCATTGGCATCCCCATATTTGTGTCCATAGTCTGTTGGTTGTATGTCTACCTCATAACTTCTAACTGGGAGCAGGACCGATGATTGCAATCCCTCCCTGTATCAAATACCTCCGAGATACCCGACTTCAGTCTGCTCATCATCCCCCAAGAAAAGAGGACTGGTATCAAACTGGATCCCCAGTCGTCACAAACTGGGTTTCAATACTAAGTCATGGTCATCCATGACGTGGATGATTTGGGTACGCCCATGACTTCGAAAACGAACCCACCATGGCTTGATTTTGAGCCACTCGTTTGGTGGCTACGAACTGATCCCCTTGGGTCCCCAGCTTTTGCAACTGCCGTCGGGTCAGTTCGTCCACCACATACTCGGCACTGCCGGGCAATGCCGCGCTCAGCGGGGAGGGTTTGGGCGCGCTGAGCCAATCGAAGGTGCCGCAGGGGCAGCGGTAGTACAGGCGACCTGGAGAGGGGTACAGTTGGAATAGGCAGTGTGATGTCAAATGTTTAATATCCCTGGGCTGTTTATTTTTGGGTGGAAACCAATTTAGTAGCAAATGACACCACTATCTGGGGGTGCAAAAACAAAGGTGCCGGGCATCTGAGAGGCTCGCGACTGTCGTCACTTTTCAAACATTTTCTAGGGGGGAATGGAAAAGGCTCAAAAACGAAACTTTAGTACCGTCAGCAACATCAACATAATCATCATTATTATTATCATTATCATCATTATTGTCATCATCATAGGGTGAGAACATACAGCTGCGTAGAATAACGCATGTGTAGAAGTGCAAGAGTACCTACAGCGTAGCATGACGTATGTGTGGAAGTGCCAGAGAACCTGCAGCGTAGCATGGCGTATGTGTGGAAGTGCAAAAGAATTTACAGAAGCGTAGCATGACGTATGTGTGGATGTGAATGAAATGCAAGAGAGCGTACAGATGTATTATATGTGTGGAAGTGCAAATTACGTTATTATCCCACCCCACCCCACCCCCCACACAATGTTATTTTCATAGTAGAATTCAAAAAATGACAACAGTCGCGAGCCTCTCAAATGCCCGGCACCAAAAACATGACCCATCAACCTGCATAACCAAAATGTCCGCTTGTAGTGATGACCATGAAGGCATGCACCAATGGAGGAGATTTCATTAACATGGGGAGCAAATAAGCAGCAAGGATGGGGCGGGGTCACCTCATCCACCTCAGAGTTGTTGACCCATGTGGTGATAGCAAAACACCACCATTTTCGAGTCATCCACCATCGTTTTTGAATCTATTGGTAGAAAGTCCAGCAACTGCCCCACCTGCATTACCCTTCTGATTGTTCTCATTCACGGTCATCACCTTCACGACTTTCCCACACTTCTTGCAGCTTTGATCCTCGGAATCTGTGGAACTCGACTGTGAATCGGGTGGTTCCCAGTCATCTGACTCCCATTGAAAGAAGCCGCAGCTGTAGCCCCCCGTGTTGGCGCAGGTCCAAAAGGATCGGCCGCAGTTGCTTCCGGCCTTTCGGGTAATCCGCAGATGACTGGGATGGCCACAACGGCACCGGGCTCCGGCGGCGGATAAGGTGGTGCCACCTTGATCCAGCCACTGGAAGAAGTCACAGATGCGACAGCTCCAAAACTCTCGCCCTGCGTGCTTGGAGCTCTTCCCAGCGACCGCTTTGACGGAACTCTCCGGTGGATCACACAAACACAGTGGCGCGCTCATGGTGGTAATTCCACAGCTTTTAAAAGTTTCTGGTGAGAAGGACAGAGTATGTAGAGAGGTGTCAGCATGTCCAGCTGTCCTTTACATTTTAGTGTCAGCACTTTCAGTTTTCACTTGGTCTGCTGCTTTCACTTGCCTGACCTAGTTGTTGTTTTGTGGTTCAATTCCCATGAAAGCCATTGGTAACTTGAGCCCGCAGATTCGGAGCGGTCAATGTTCTGCCCGAAGCGCTCTTGATCAATCTCCAAACCGCCAATCCACGATCTCCAAAGTCCCTTCCGTAGAAATTCATCCAATCCAAAAGCACAAGAAATATGAGAACAACAACAAAATGAGGAACAAAACCTACTATACCATATTTCTTCGGATGAACCTCCATTTCCCAGCTATTTTGCTCCAGGGATTTGACCCATTCCCAATGGAACAACACCAAAATCTGCCCAAAACCCATCCAAAACCCATCAAACACCTCCGAATCCAACTCCTTGGGTCACCTTGGGTCACCCCACCCTCCACCGCACCACACGCACGGCTGCCCACGGATTGCAAGGCCGCCCTCGGAGTCCGTCTCGGAGCCATCGCGAATGCCTCAAGGTCCCCATCCACGTAGGTGATGTGAATACTTGGGGATACTGTTCACGGGATGTATGCGTGCATATATATATATTATACATATATACATATATTATATATATATATATGTATGTGTGGACAGGATATATATATATATATACAGGGTATGCTGTATGTTGTCAGCAAGGGGATAACCAACAAGAATTGGGATAGAATCGGTCTCTTGAACTCTGGATCTTATCTTCTGTGAACGATACATCAAAGATCAAGGGTCAAAATTGTGGTAGCCGCTAGCCAGTGGCTTGGTTTGAGACAAAGCAGAACATGGCCTGTCTTTATGCACTTTTCTTTGTATTGGACTTTGACACCCATGTAATCAAAATCGAAAATGATGCACATAAAAAGTGATTGTTTCTACCCAACAATGTGGAGTTTCCGAGTATGGGTTCAAACTTGAGATCCACTCATGCAATAGATTGGCTGGTCATTCTTGAAAATTGGGCAAAGAATGTTGGCCCCTACTCAACAAACTGATCACTCGCAGTTTGCTGGTCAGAACATGAAATTTGTCAATGGGAAATGGGAAATCAAGGGGGGTCCGGGGTCATATTCATCTCATCAGGACATTTTTATCCGCACGATTAGCGCCGCTCCCATTGGCTTGGAGCTCCCCGCCTTAAAGGCGAAAAAATGGTGGTCTTCAATGGTGATATTTCCCGACAGTCAATGGGAATTTCAGGATCCTAAAATGGAGGTACTGTACCATACAAGGCTATATTTTGTGGGGATATTCCCTTACATAGGCCTTATATAGGCCTCATATATGGTAGGTACCTCCAATTTAGGATCCTGAAATTCCCATTGAGACAGGTCGGTCCCATGGGAAAATGAACAGAGTGACACCTCGAAGATCAACTTTGGGGCTACCCAGAGATTTTTGCACGATGACTCTAAGAGAAGCTGCCTGCCCTGGCATTTCCCCAGGTGCCATGCTGATGCAGCTTATCTTGTCCGTGATGGTCTTGCAGCCACCAGACTGAACAGGTTAATCAAAATGGAAGTACGGAGCTGGAACAAAAACTACAAGAACTGGGACTGATCTATGAGCTTATGGCATCTATGGCAATCTATGGCAAAGGACATAACAAAAGGTGGAGGGAAGAAATGCTTGGAATCTTGCAGTGATTGGGATTCAAAAAACCCCTTGTGTGGATGAGGCAGCCGATGTGACAGACAAGTTCAGAAAAGAACTGTGGCCGAACCTTCATGGTCAAGCACTCCAGCTTGTCCTGGCATCTGGTAGATTCATCTTTTCAGAATAGGGAGAAAAAAAAACAAAAGCCAAAACGCCAACAAACCCCAACAAAAAAAGTTCTGCTTCAAGTTTGGAACCTGACCATAGTTGGCTTTGAAAACTTGAGAATTGAATCTGCAGGCTTCCCAAACCATTTCGCACTTGAGGCCCAGATTTTTCACCCCAAGTAGAGGCAGTCTGACCATATTAGGCGTGGGCAGATTCAGGACCGGTTTGGACACGTTGAAGTGTGGCTTGACCCTTCCATCCTGGCGTGCGAACTCAATTCGTTACTAAGCCGGCGCGTAACCATCGTGGAATTGGGAACTGTGGGGGATACACACATGAAAAAATATGGGAATATATATATATATGTATACATCTATATATATAATATAATATATATATATAATATATACATTAGACGATTTTCATTTTACATACATAAGTGTGTTGCAAAACATTGTTTTTTGGAAGGGGGAAGGTGCTGTTTATCACCGGCCTTGCATTGCGCAACCATCGGATCCTTCGAGTAACCTCAGCGACGATCGCGACGATTGGAGCTTCAAATCATCTGTCGCAACCCTCCGCTAAATACATATATATTATGATAATTTAGTATTAGATGGTCCATTGTCAAATGCTAGTATATAGATTAGATGGTCCGTCATTTACTGGTATAATATTAGATGATATAGTATTAGATTGCACACTGGTATAGTATTAGATGGCCCATTTACTTCGATGACTTACCGCTTTTGCAAAATGGTGACGTTCTGCAAGCTGTTAAACTGCTAGAGTCATCCTCCAGAGAACCCTAGCCACCACAGCCTTCGATTCGGCTCAGAGACTTGTTGTGAATGCAACGCCTTCACCTCGATTCCAGCAACGGATGAAAATGTCCCCAACGAAGTGCCAAAGGAACTTGGGTGGCAAAAATGCAGCCATTGAAAAGTCCACGATTGGTTGTATCATATTATGTTGTATTATACTATGCTGTACTCAATCATAATGTGTTATGTTATAGTATCTTTTGTTATACTCTACTAGATTATATCATACTATATTATATTATATTATATATATGTATTAATATATATATATTATAGATACTATATTATGTTATACTATATTATCCTGTTATAATATATCATGTTATTTATGCAATATTATGTTATACTAGACTATGCTACAGTATACTATACTATATTACATTACATTACATCGAATTACATCATATTATATATAGTACTAGACTATACTATATTCTACTATCTTCCATTACAATTTAAATTGCGAAACAAATTGTATTGTATTACATCATGTCTTATTATATTATATGATACTATATCATATTATCTTTCATTGTCTCTATCATATCATGCTATACTATACTACACTTTACTTTTTATAACACTACACAATACTATATCGTATATATATATTATCATAACATAATATATCATATCATATTATATTATGTATATCATATTAAATCATGTATATTATATTATGCTATATCATATCATATCATATTGCATTATACTGAATTAGATTAAATTGTATTTAATGCTATGTTACTATATTATATACTACATGCATACATCATTAAGCAGTATATTGAAAATTAATACATGTATATATATATATATATATACATATATATATATATACATATATATATATATACATATATAAAATATAATTTGCACATGTATGTTGTAGAATATACACAATTATATAAGCAAGCCACTGCGGTTCAACCTGGAGTGAAGAAACTGTGCTGACAGGTGACCATTCATCTGCAAGTCGTAGGGTTCGCATTTCGCGCCCCTCTCATTGCACAACCTCGATACCAGCAAGGGGAGAGCAACTCTCGGGCAGGGGGTCCATCCAAAAGATTCACTGGACCAATCCGACTACCCCAAAAAAATCTGCTGGCTTGAGTGTCTCGAATTTTCGAGGCAGCCAAGAAGAGGTTCATCCTGCAGTTGGGCAGAGGAAAGCAAGCTCGGAAGCCAGAAAAGTATCTCCGGTTTTCAAGAGAGAATCGCTTGCTTTTTTAAAAAAATCCTGGAAAAATGGAAGGTGGCCACTGGGCCACCAGGGTTCCAGACGTGTTGTTGCACCACACACAAGGCTGCCCATGCACCTGCACAGGTGAAGCCTCCAGTTTAATGAGGAGATGGTCCCCCAGTTTATGGACATGGAAATGTTTAAATATGTTGGGGAAATGACAAGGTACCTTGTCATGTATGATTAAAAGTGGTGAATTGTGTGGCCATTAAGCAAATTATGGTGGTACCCATGGAACATGCTACCGCCCCAGCAGCACCAGCACCTTCCGACCAAAGATGGTTTCATCTGGTCGACCATCTGCACTGGCGAGACAAGCATAGGCATCCAAAAACCTTGGGGCAAGACCCTGGGTGGACTGGCAAAGGTGGCAAAAAACCAAGGAACTAATGATGAGGTTTACCTAGTAAACCCACTTAAATAAACCATCCACAGTTGGGTTTTTTTCTTCGTGGCAAACCATCTCCCCATTCGGAAGGGCAAGTCGTCCGCCCTGAGGGGCCCAACGAGGGGCATCCCTTGTTGTCTTTTGACAGACAGGATAAATCCTCGGCCAGGCTCTGCAGGTCCATTGGAGATCGCTGCCATGGGCTTCGCTCTCTGCTTGATCTGCTCAATTTTTTTCGGGGTTACACCAGTTTATATCCAAGTATAGACAGTATAGCAGCCAATAAAAAACGTGTCTAGTGAATCTAGTGATTTATTGGAAATATAGTGAATCTAAATATTTATATATTTCACAATATTTACTATAGATATATATATATAATTATAAAATCTAGTGAATCTACATATTTTAGTGGAAATCTCATTTCCAAGTCGCTAGTTACAACGAGACAACTCGCCTTCGGAGATGCTGTTGGCCCTTGGAACCGCACCGAAGGCGGGAAGACGACCTTGGACTCCTGCAAAAATCCATTGACAATGGGATTCATTGGGAAAATTATAGGGATTTAGTGGCATTTAATAGGATTTCTTGGGATTGAATGGGATTTATATAATGGGATATGAAAAAATGGGAAAATGAACCAACTTGAGATTTGCCTGAGAATAGGATACCCTACCCCATTTTCAGACACACACAGAAGACCAAACTTGGTGGGGAATGTACATCCAGCTGGGGATTTTGAGGCTCCAGCAAATTTACCAAATTTTTGAGCCACATGGAGGTTTCCAAAGTCATGGGGGTACCCCCAGTCATCATCCATTTATAGATGGATTTTCCATTGTAAACCAACATTTTTGGGGTACCCAGATTTAAAGAAACCTCCGTGTTCACATCTGAATCATCCCATGTCTTCTGGTGATCTGATCTGGCAGCAGCTTCGTCGCCTTCACTTTGGCCACTTTGAAGTTGTGCTTGGCATAGAAGAGGTTGTGGTGCTGGCGTGACATTCCAAGGCTCCCAAACAGAAAGCAGCCCAGAGGTAGTCGGGTAAAGCATCGCAAAAATTGGAGGAATTTTAAGTCAGCCAATCATTCGACAATCAATCTGCCCATTCAATTCTACTTTATTAAACAACAATTTCATCAATCCACAATCCTAAAATTTGCCCAGCTTCTTCTCAGGGCTCCGTACTGGCCCCTGGCCATTCATCAGCAGGTCGTAGGGCATGCACAAGGCCGTGTTGGCATCGGTGCATTGCCTTGGTCACGGAAGATGGTATAATGTGCAGCACCTGGAGCTATTCAATTTAAGTGCAATGATGCGTCGTTTCAAAGACCTGACAATGGTTTTGAATTGACAATGGATTTCCAGAAACAGAACCGCAGATTGCTGCAGAAGTTCCAGACCATTCAAGATCATTCAAACTGGTCCATCTGGAGCGATTCAAGTGGTGTGCCCAGTTTGATCCTTCCATGCGAACCATGGGGGAACCATGGGGAACCTTGGATACCCGAAGAATTCTTGAACGTTCTCACGGTTCAACATATTCCTCTGGAATTATATCCTCCAATCTCAAAATGCCAACAAATTTCTCCATCCAATGCCAAAGTTTCCCCTTCAAAATGCTAACATAGCAACATATTCTTCCATCAAAGGGTCCGAGACATCTTCCAACCATCAACTACCGCCTAGGTCTGGATCTGGCTAAAAATTCTTCAACCTCCATTGGTCCATTTCCCAACCATTTGGTGAGGGCTCTTCTGCCCGGAAAGAATGCCCAACCATCACTCCCAACCGCACTGCCGCACTGCGTGCCCCCCACACCCCGCCACACCACACGCAGGCTTCGCCTGCCACCTGAAAGTTGCTTGAAGAAGCTTCGTAAAGATTTGGAAAAATGGAGATGGGTCGAATTTGAACCTAACCCCTATGGGAAAAAAAAACATACAATCACCCCCAAACTCACAAAACTCACGGTCTTGACCAGCAAAAAAGGACATGTGATTTAACCAACCAAAACGGATATCCCCCAACGCACTGCTCAACCATCCTGGTACCCTGGTGATATTCAACGAACCGCGTGCAACTCCTGTTTTTTCAGACAAGCACATGGGCCCACAAAAGAAACCCATGAATTCATGGCTAGACATCTAGCAATTCATTGGAACCCATTTCCACTTCAAATGGACCATGGCGGCCACGACTGGTGGATCGGAGGATTAGCTAATTTGAGACGTGCCATGAAAATTTGGAATCAATGACCCCCCCAAAGACTGCCAGCATTTTGGTTGAACGCCCCCAGCCTTGTATGGAGTGTATCCCCAGGTCGCATTCCCACTGCCATCTTTGCTGCTCAGACAGGTGGACATGTCCTTGACAACGGATGTGTAGACCATGCTGCCTGAAGAATGGTCCTACTTGGGTATGGGTCAAATTCATGACCCAGGAAACACCCATTTTTGGGACTTGTTGCGATCAAACTATATTGTCGTGCCCCACCAGCTGTCTCTGCAATGTCTCTGCAATGTCTCTGTGTCAAGAAGGCAACTGGAAATCCCCTTAGGTTAGGGGCTCCAGGAATCCAGCAAATGAAAGTAGCACCGCATCGGTCCTGCACAGACATGCAACCTCCTTTCACCGGGCTCAGCTTGCTCAATTGTTCCTGACACCATGTTCCAGTGGGCAAGGTAGAGCGTTATTGGCAATATTGGAGAATAATAGTTCTACAAATTGCAAACGAAAGTACTATATTATAGCCTGTATGAGATGGGCTAGCTTCAATCAACAGGATAGAAACAAGCGTTGGTTGTCAGACATAAGTCCTGGCACCTGTACGTTGTCATACTGTTCTTGAATTTTTGGATCAAGTGGTGCCAACTTGCTCCCAGTTTTGAGATGGACTTTTGACCCCAGAGCCTGAAGCCATACGGTATGAGCCAAAAATTACAAATGGACCCTCAAGATTCAAGATGCTGTTTTTCGTATGTTGAACCATCCATTTGGAAGAAAAAGATAATCTTCCCCATATCCCTTCTAAATAGGCTATGACAGCTATGAGCAATGTTTTGACCACCCACTCCGGAGTCCGGAATTTCTCAAGGTTTACAGGTTCCCCATCCATCTCAGGCCTTCCATGTGGATCCCAATCGCAGTAGTAAGTGGTTAGTGACCCATCTGAACTCAGGTAGCCTATACCACAAACATGAGCATAAATCCCGTGAAAAGTACTGCTTTTTTTGATGGCCCATAAGCTGCTGTATGTTAAAATCATTACCATTACTACCCAAGATTCAAAGATGTAAGATTTCCCCAACATGTTAACTATCACCAAAGATTTCATGAACAGCATTTTCCCACACTTTGATCCACCACCATTCCGTTAACCCCCACCTGGCTGGGTGCCATGTCCGGCCGCCCTTTCTTAAAGACCGTGGCGGCGCCATCTTCGCAGCCCGGCACTTCCACAGTACCGTGCGTGGCTGTCTCCTGGGTTTTGTTTCGTGGTGGAAACACCGGAAACACCGGGGAAACGTTAGGGAAATGTTGGGGAAATGCGAGGAAGTTCCAAAAAAAACATGAAAAATGAAACGTTTACTCGGAACTGTAGGTTTTCCTATCAAAGATTGGGGTCTTCTGGAAAACTCTCCCTTGAATCAATTCTGGGAATGTTTGTTGATTTGGGTGTGTATGAAAAGTGCAACAACAAACAAACAAACAAACAAACAGACAAACAAACATTCCAAAGGGATTTGGACCATACCCCACTTTTGGACAAGATCATGGCGATGTGGAAATCTCGTACTTATGAACTACAACTACTGTAGTTGTTGACCTAGATTTCGGTTGACAACAAATTATAGACATTATCCATAATGATGAAATATAGTTCGCCATGATGACGGATGCCTTGCAAACATCCATAGTTTTGATTTAGATCATTTCCCATGATCGATGATGCGATTTTACAACAATAATTCTGACTCAATCATTGTAATTGCTTCAGCAGCTATCAGAACTGAAAATCCAGGGTCCATATTGATCAAGTCCGTAGACTACGACATGATCTACGAGACATTGGAATCAAGGTTTTGAACATCATTTCTACAGATTCCTTGCAGAATGATGTCCAATTTCAGAGCCAATCTGGATATGTTCGGATTCAATTGATAGTTGATGTTTGATGCACGTATGTACATGAACATATACTGGTATGTTTGTAAGGTCTCTTGGTATCAAAAACCTGCGATGATCCGAGTATGTTCAAATAGCAAAGGTGAACCCATGTTTAGAGCAGCAAGTGGCTATGGGTGAAACTGGTGGGTACGGTACCATTCCATCAATGTTTTTGTTGAACCCCCAGTGCTGATGACCAGCCCAACGTTGCAAAATACATATGTATATATACATATACATATACATATACATATACATATACATATACATACATATACATATACATATACATATACATATACATATACATATACATATACATATACATATATATATACATATATTATATTTATACTAACATATTTATACATACGATATGTGCACATTCAAATACATATATACACAAATATACATATCTTTAACATGTATATATATATATGCACGTACACAGGTATGTGTATATATATATATATCCATACATTCTACATATCTATACTAAATATCATATGTATACGCAGATATTTATATATATATATGCAAAAACCTATACATCTATCACAATAAATATCATAATATACATACATATATATATATGTGTGTGTGTGTGCGTGTATTCATATAAATATGTGTGTGTATATATATATATATATACGTGTGTAATTTTACATGTCCATTGCTATGCTTTCGATCACTGCACAAAAAAAGGGCCTCGGTACCCTTGAAGGTTGGCAAGGACTCACAACGATTGAAACGGCCAGCTAGGCATGGCCTGGGATGGGCATTTCCTCGAATTGATCGGATTTCAATGGGGCATCCCCAACATCAGCAAAAATGAAAGCCGCCAGATCTGAGGATAGGATGGTTGAGGGGCTGTAGCTACAATATGAAACTGTGTTTACCACATTTTACAACGACGCTTTAAATCCAGCGAATCGCATTGGGGTCCGTAAGCGTATACGCCGATATGCCATTAGGCCGATCGGCTGATTCACGCCGATACGCCGTTAGGCCGTTTGCTGCGTTTGGCGTTGCGCCGTTACGCCGATCTGCTGTAATTACGCCGTTTATGCTTAAAATCCTCAGTCCGCCAGAAAACCAACGAAAACCGAACTCTTCAATGCAGAGAAAATCACACCTCTGCGCGGCACTTGATTTCTCCGTAGACATACAAAATTGTAGATGGGTCAAACGGGGAAGACCTCTCCTGAAATCCCCGTCTGCCCCTCTGCTAAACAAACATGGCTGACTGGAAAATGATTACCGATAGTAAAAATGTGCATTTCAACTGGCGGGTGAGACTACCAAAGGCACCCAATTTTGAACGCAGAACCGACTTTGGGAAAAAAAAACAGCACTTGGGCCACCGAACCCCCCATCGCACCAAAGGCATGGCGCCTCAAGGAGCAAAATTGAGGTTGCTGCTCCCCCTTTTGACCACTGATATTGGATGTGAATGTCGCTAGTGACAACTATCCAAAATTTGGGTTACATAAAAATGATCCAAACCCGTTTGTGATTCTATACTCCAAATCTCCAAAAGATTTGTGAGGTTCACCAGCTACCCACTGACATGACCGTCAGTCCAACATGGATTCACGTAACAAACTCTTAGCCCCAAGTCGGTATGGAGGTTCAGCCAAACCCATCACAGGATTCTGGGATGATCCCTTCATCACGTTCACGATTTCGATTCATAGTCCATAGTCCCGAAAACACCGTCCTCAATAAGGTCATTAGAAGGGTCCCATCTGCCACGATGAAAAGCTTCCCTACTGGGGCCACTGCGGATACCGGAGAATCACCCCCACTTGGGATGGTTTTATGAAGTCTCCCACTATCCCACTATTACCCAATACTCTCAGTTATTATCCCATCATGTCCGTTCATTTCCCATAATTCCCTGTTTACTATTGCCTTTAACTCAGTTGGTTGAGCTCTCCGTTGACAGCGACCCGACATCCCGCTATGACCTCGTCACTCTTGCTGCTCAGGCAGCTATACTGATCCTCAGGGAAAGGCTTCCCCAAGGCCACATATTTTGGTGCTTCATGGAGAAAAGGGTTGAAAAAGTTGCCATGGTCGCACCTTTGTACCTTAAGTCTTGGTGCACTTTAGGAAATTCGAGTCGGGTAATTTGCTGTGCATCACTCCTTCTTTCCTGCGACTGACCTTGACAAAAAGTACTGTTCGTCTGCTAAATACCTCCATGTGGTCCATCCCAAAATACCAAAATAGGCACCCTATTTTAGTCCATCAAAATCATCAAAAAGGTCTGCATTCATCTTTTGTCCCAACTTCCAAGTTTTTCTCCCTGAATTAAAACATAGGTTTCTGCCAGGCCCACCTTGCCCTGTTTTCCGATCCTGTAGCACCGCACAGCCCCTTGGTTCCTGCCGCAAACAACTCAGGTCCTGGGTTCGCCGATGCCAGCCACCGGGTCCCATGTTTTATAACCACAGTGGTCACCAAGACCTAATTTGCGTAAGATTGACAACATGTTTATATGAAGATAAGATGAACATACAAATGTAAGATTGACATGACATATTTATATGAATGTTTCAGGCCATAAGGGCAGGGTCCGGGTCAGTGTCAAGCAGTTCCGGCTCATGACCACCTGGAAACTTCCTGATCAAACCCTGATTCAGTAGTGAGGTCTGCTCAGTTAATTTTCTGCTAAAAACACCATAGAAAATTGTGAAAGAAATAAGTATGTATGTATGTGGATGTGTATAGTATATATATATAGAGATAGATATATAGATATATATATATATAGATAGATATAGATATATAGAGATATATAGATATATATATATATAGATATATCTAGATATATATATATAGATATATATAGATATATATAGATATATATATAGATATATAGATATATAGATATGTATATATATAGAGAGAGATATAGATATATATAGATATATAGATATATATATAGATATATAGATATATATAGATATATAGATATATAGATATATAGATATATAGATATGTAGATATGTAGATTTATAGATATATAGATATATAGATATATAGATATATAGATATATAGATATATAGATATGTAGATATATAGATATGTAGATATATAGATATATAGATATATAGATATGTAGATATATAGATATATAGATATATAGATATATAGACATATAGACATATAGATATATAGATATATAGATATATAGATATATAGATATGTAGATATATAGATATATAGATACAAAGATATGTAGATATATAGATATATAGATATATAGATATATAGATATATAGATATATAGATATATAGATATATAGATATATAGATATAGAGATATAGATATATATATATATATAATTATACATACTGTATAAAAAATGTAACTAATACCTACGTTCGGTATATGGGGAAGGGCTACTGATCAACTTCCCAATTCCTACCAGGGCACTGCCCAGCTCAAATCGTGCAGGCGGGTTTGCAGGTCCGCCTGCGTCTGGGTTTGGCCGGGAAACTCCGCCACTTCAACCAATTCTGGGAAAGTCAGGGGATGGGCGTGGATGAAAATCGGGGAAAAGAAATAAGACAAACCAACAGGAAATATGATGACTCTCGCCTTGGTGCTGCAAGATGCTGCAAGTATCCGAGAAGATGTTTGGATCCAGAAATAAAGAATCCCAAATGCAGTTTGAGAAGGTTTTGGGAACTGTAGGGTTCTCTCCCCTTTCGGGCAACCCCATTTTCAGACAAACAAACCAGCTACTGACCAAAAATTAAGATTTTGAGTGTGCCTGAAAATCAACTGTGACTCCACAAAATGTCCAAACAAAAATAGCTACCAAACCCAACATTCACCAAGATTTACCGAATCTGCCACTGGTGAATGTCTCAATTTGCCACGAGCCTCATGTCTCAGTTGCCAAACATATAGAAGTTTCAAGGGATTGAAACACTGCTCTGAAGACTCACCCGATTCTGGACCCCGATGCGGGACCTCAGCAGCCACACCTGAGGCTCAGGTGGAAAACCATACAGTTTGTTGATGGATCAATACTCATCGCCATGATTTTTGTTACCCATGAAATTATCCCATAAGACATGTTGTTTAAAAAAGGTTAACCCTGGAGTTCAAAACGTCATTTTTTAGCAAACATGTTGAATCTGCTGTGACCAGATCTTGCAAGTTCCATCACCGGATTCATCCAAGGCACCAGAAAGTGATAGTATGCAGAGACGCGTCAAGCAAACCTCAGTCAGCAAGCAAACCTTGATAAAATTCAGTTTCAAACAATGTCCGTGGTTTGACATGTTGTTTGTCGAATCCGAATCATTATCATTATCATTATGATTATCATTATCATTATCATTATCATTATCTGAATCTCTTCAAGTTGAAGGCATCCATTCTGTTCGCCTCTCCTGAAATAAAAACACAGTACGTGATCAAAGTGCGTCAGCACCATGGACCCAGGCCCAAAACATCACTTACATTTTAGGGCCGACCGCGCAACATTTGTCACAACCATCACAATGATGCCCCTTCAATTACAGGTCGGAAATTGACACGTGTTGCCGATTGCGAAACATTTGAAAACAATGCGCATTGTTTGCAACAATTGTTCGGTGAATACTAAGCAACTGGCTTGTAAGGTAGCAAAACGAATCATGGTCGCGCCAATCTGGATCGTCTGTATCGATTGGTTTTGCAATGCATTGACACTGAAACTTTGAATTTGCCCGATTTCCCGGTCTGAAGATCACTAACAAGTGCATTTTTGTTGACAGAAAAGGCTGTGGTCTCCTTTGTCTTCCCTGATACGAGGCCATAGCCTTTTTGCCGCGTGTTTGTGGCAGTTTTCCACCCAAAAAAATTGTTCCTGCTTTGCCGCAATCAGGATTGTATGGTTGCATCCCACACAATAAATAGAAGGTTTCCAAAAAAAACGGCTGCGATCACACCATCACAAAATGAACAATGTATATAAATTAAAATGTGAAAAATGGGTACACAAAAAGTGGGGGGGGTGCCATCAGTAATGGAAGGTACTAGCTAGGTAGGCAGTTCCCTCCCAAAACCCTCCCTATGGTGTGGGTGGGTGGGCTAAAAAATTGTTCCAACCCAAAGGTTTGGTCCACTAAATGTTGTGGTATATAACAACATTGTCATTTCATGTTTTTCCAAAAGCCGGGAAAAACCAAGTAGGGATTCAGACATCCAAAGTGGGAATGTTTCCAAAAAACCGAGAAAACATCCTCAAGAAGTGTTTGTACAATTTTTACCCAAGTTAGTGAAAAACTTGGACAGTGGAAAAGGGCACCATTTTTCAGATTGTGCGACTTGTTTGTATTTACACTGAGTTTGTGAGGGTTTGCAGTTTGCATTCACAAACTTCCGAGTATACACTTTGGTAAATTTCCGCCAAGGGCGTGACACGCAAGAGTGCGATTATGCTAAGGACAAGGCGCGGCAGGAGCGTAACAAGATGTTCAAGAGGCACCGGGGAGGAACACAAGACCAACCGGGCAAGAGTCAAGACCGGACTCAGCCAAGAGAGTTTTACCTACCAAATACACAGTCGCAACACGTCGCGAATGCGTGACGGAAGAGCAGGCAACATCATTTGGTTTTGTGCCACATGGTTATGCATGAAATTTCCGCATCATCCCAGCATCGAAATCGGGAGAAAACATACATGTTCCCTTTTGATTGTAAGATCCCCCTTATAAAATGGGAATCACGATAGGTAAAATGGCAATTTCCTTTTGCAGCACGGCATTAGGAAACCACTGAATGGCAGTTCAACGACGCAATTATATATATATTAAAAAAAACTGACAATGTTTTAATCATTACAGGACCCATCATTTTAATCATTTTATAAGGAAACATTTTTGTTCACAAGGAAATTAATGGTTTTGATGGAATTGCCGTTTTATAAGATTTTGAGGTCATTTTAAAGGCAAAAACATGAAAAAAATGGAAAACCAAATTTATCCGGGTATGTTTTTCTCAGTTTTTGCTGGTAATGCCGCAATTTTCAAAAGAAATGGACGCACTCAAAATAAGGTCTACCTTTAAAAATTATAAACAATCCGAAGTGAAAAAAAACTTATAAAATGGCAATTGGTTTTGGAGGAATAATAAGCAAAATATAAAAATCCATAATAACATGAAAGATCAATAGTTTGATCCTTATAAAATGACACATCAAAGTCATGTTTTCTGTTAAAACCTGGGCGGCGGTCTCCCTCAGATAAAATGATAATCATACGTTGAAGGATGACATGACGTTATTTGCATCTTATAATTACATAATACTACATATGACTGCTATTTACATCTATATGCATCATTATGCATCTATAATGATCATCCATATACGGTTATAAATTATATTTGTTATAAACAACAAAATCCTGGGCAAACATTGTGTTCTGTTCTCTTGCAATTTATGTTGCGTTTTATCAGCAAAATTGACGGTCTCAATAATTTTGATTTGCTTTGAATTTTGAACAATTGTTGTTGGAACCTGCGGTTCCGCAACCCCTATCTAAAATGCAGATCATGATGAGTCCGTACGGAGGATCGGAGACAATCCACCAGTATCTATTTTTCCTCCGGGTATGGCCGCTGATGCTCGAAGCACGGTCCGTGATCGCAAGTCAAAACACAATGAGAGACCAAAGTCTCAGCAGCGACAACACTCTTGCAGTGAGATTGGTCACCCTGGGTGTCAAAATGAATACACAACCAGAAACAAGCAAACAGGCCAGCAGACGCGTCACACTTCCCCCAGCCAGAAGTGTGTCTCCCTTCACAAAGACAACAACAAAGAAAACAACAGCGAACGGGGCCAGGGCCCAAAAACAAACAATCACTCACCCAGGCGACAGGTGTAGAAGGACTTTGACTTTGCCTTCTGTCACTTGCTGTCATGAATTGTCAATCAAGAAATCGCACAGCGAAGGCAAACAAAGAGCCAACACCAAAAACGACAGCAAAAGAAATCGAGGTCCAAAATCTCTCTAAAATCCTGAAAAACTCAAACCGCTTTGGGTTCACTGAATTAGTCCGGCACCCAGAGTCCTCTCAGAATCCGCTCAGATGTGATTTTCCAGATCATCTTATCTCTGTGCAAATTCGCTATACAACATTTGCATAAATAAGCACGGGGAGCCCCCCAGGGGCCCCCGGCAGGGACAAGAGGAAGGCAGCTCATGTTCTAGCTCTGCAACGGGCCAGGTTATGAAGGTGAAATACATTTGGCTGGAAGCCAATTACCATGCAGAGAGAACTTACTGATGTCTTCGCATCGCATGAAAAGCCGTCAAACAAGATGCACTCGCAAAAAGCAATGTGTTCAGCCCATCTCATCATCTGTTCGAATGCCGTGGTGACCAAACATCGGGACCAATAGGAAAGGCATTTCACAGGATAGCTTCCATAACATCCGAAGTCTCTCTCATATGCACACCTTACTGCCATGATCCTGTTCCGCTAATGGAGGAGGCCCTGACGCTGCCTCATCAGAAGCCGAGATTCCGTTCTGCATAGAGAGCTGTCGGATGTTTTCGCATCATCAAAAGAACAGCAATCATGTATACGATCCTCCAATTTCTTGGGTGTCCGCTGAGGTCAAAACTCTGTACCGGTAGGCAGTAGCCAACGCAGTTGCAGCCAAAAGGGGTGCTCCACGGGGTGCGTGACAGCAGCGGCGCACTGAGAGATTCAACGGTGGGACTCGGGCTTTGCCGAGCAACCAGGAGGCAGCACCACCGGATCACTACCAGCCCATGTACGCGGCTGTGTCCACAGTGGGGGCGCCGTTAGTTGTCCCATTGTGCCCACCCCAGAAGGTTCCTACAAGAGACAAATACGTGCAAAGGAAGTGACAGAGCCATTCAAAGAAGTAGGAAACAGATGTGAGCACAACAGCAAGTAACAGCACCCAAGAGGAAAAAAGGCTCCGGTTTGGCCGTCGTTGCGCTGTGGCACGGTCCTTTCCTATGAAACCAAGTAGATGCAAATGACCAGTATGATCTGCAGACACATTGGTTGAATTAAAGTCAAAAAACTGCAAATAAATGAGTCACCAGGAAAACCAAGAAAAACCAGTCATCAGAAGAACCGACAAAGAAGAGGACGAGGCACACTTCCCCGAGCAAGAAGTGTGTCTCCTCAAGTCAAGACAACACAGAGAAAACAACAAAGGAACGGGGCCGGGACCCAACACAAAAAACCACTTTCCAGGTGACTTCTGGCAATGAGTTGTCTACCTACCGCCATATACTGTCATTAAAAGTTGTGTGAGACATAAGCTAAGCCGCTTATGCAGTCAGAGCAAGGACAAGTGGAAACTGAGCAGAAAACCCGTAGCGCAGGTCCTCCTTGGTATTTGCTCCTTTTCTTTCCTTGAAAGAGTTAGGAACTGGATGCCCACTGTCGCTGACAGAGAAATGACGCAGAGATGCCACCATCTGCTCTGCCCATTGGCCAACAGATTACACCCTCCTTAGGGGCTGGTATCTGAGCAGCGATGTCGAAACGTTTACGAACGAAGCCTGCACACGCACGAGAGCAAACCAAATGTTCAAGGGTCTGAACATTGATCTGAATGAGTTTGCACAACGGGCCTTCCAAAATCGACCGCGCACATACGCGCCACTGGACCTTCAAAGCCAATGGCAGAACAAGCGATTCTGGACTTGCAAGGTCCGGCAGAATACTAGCCAAAGAGACATTGCTGCTCATTGTCTCCTAACGTACAAGACCATCGTAGCTGCACACGACCCTCAGATGGCGACTATTTCTGAGAACGACTTGCAAGGGCCATTTTGTCACCAACTCCACAGTTGAATGTGGAGGCTTTCGAGCCATTTTGCTCATCTTATCAGATCAACTGTCAACTGACGATGTTCCTCTTTTTTCCTTGGAATGGGCGATTAAGCTCAGCGGCTCGGTTCTTTGTACTTAATGTAAAGATGAAAAAGTGAGAAAACAAAATCCACGATGGGATCGAACTGTACAGCCGTGCTGGACCAATGAGGCAACAATAAAAACCATGAGCAACCAACAAACAAAGGGACAAAGAAACCAGAAAAGCAAGCGCATATTTTTTTCTCTCGGAGTGCGGCCGATTCAGCTCAAAGGCTCGGTCCAGAAAACATTTCTAAGTAAAGTAAAAGAAGGTACAGAGAAATTCTGATTCAGATCTGTCGAAACTGTACAAAACCTACCGGTGGCATAAAGCAAACAACACTCTCAAAAGCGTCGGGGGGAAGAAGTGCACATCCCCCCCTCAGATATGCGTATCTTCCCACGCAGAAAAACAAACAACAAAGCAGAAACCGAAAGGGGCCAGAGCCCAAACACCAACAAACACAGCACAGCCACCTAGGCATCAATGAGAAAATACCCTGGATGCCAATCCAGAATATGCACATCAAACGAATTCAGAGAACCCTAGTAAAAGAGGGTGATACAGTGACTACACAGGGGTCCTACGTAAAAACTCAGCTGTACAAAGCCAATGGAAAGTCTCACAGATTCCTCTCAGTAGGCCTAGTCCAAGTCATCATGACGTTCTTCATCATCTGAGTCAGAGAGACCACGTACTCAGGCCACTAGCGTAGAGTGCTCATCACAACGATACTCCAACGCAGGTCAGGGG